CTTCTGGGTCGATGTCCTTAAGGTTCTCATGCGACCAAGCAAAGATGTCCATATTACGCTTCAAAAAATCAATCAACAAGGGAACCAGCTCTTCAGAAAGGGAAGAGCCAATGTAAATTCTTCTATATGGGTGCTCATTTTCTAAGACCACAGGGATGAGTTCCTCGACTGGTTCTCCTCTTTCTGTTGCGGAGTCATCCCTTGGGTTAAGGACCTCAACCTGCAATGCTTCTTGGGGCTTCCTAGCCTTCATAGAGGATACATAACACTCTCTGGCTGTTATTTGGTCCCCTTTGACCTCTTCGACTCCATTTGAGGTTGAAAAGCGAAGAACGAGATGGTAGGTAGAGGGCACAACTCTTAATGTGTTAAGAGCTGGCCGCTCTAATATGATGTTGTAGGCTGACGGGCATTCTATTACCAAGAAATTGACCATGACTGTGGAGCTTTTGGGTGTTACTCCAGCGATAACGAGAAGTGTGATGGATCCAAGGGGATACACTTTTTCCCCTGAGAATCCAATGAGGGGTGACCTGATTGGCTGTATCCTCTCCCTGCCCAGGTTGAGCTTGTCATAGGCCTCTGCAACAGGATATCTGCAGAGCTGCCACTATCCACCAGGATCCTGTGCACATAAAAATTGGCCACCGTCATGGTGAGCACCAAGGGGTCGTCATGGGGGTGCTGGATTTCCTCCAAGTCCTTATCTGAAAAAGATATGACCTCGTCGCCTTCCTGCTTCAGCACCTTAGATGGGCGCATCTCGTAGACATGTTTTTACCTTCCTGGCATGGGCGTTCATCGCGAAAAGTGATTCTCCCCCACCTGCTAGTCCCCCTGAGATGGTGTGGATTTTTCCCACGGGCTGCTGATCTTCCTGGTTGTGAGGTTGTGGTGCTCGTTCTCTTTCAGCAACGTACTGGCGTAAGTGACCACGCTGGGTGAGCTCCTCAATTTGCCTCTTGAGGTCGTAGCAATCGTCAGTGTCATGCCCGTGGGCACGATGGAAGCGGCAATACTTGTTAGAATTTCTGCTATTTGGAGGAGACTTCATTTTTCCAGGCCACTTTATCGCGGGGTCATCCTGGATCTGGAATAGGATGTGTTCCATGGAAGCATTGAGGGGAGTGAAGGGTTGACGGTTCCTCTGAGGAGTAGGACCTAGTCGGTCCTTGATAGGGACTTTCTCTGTCTTGCCATGTTTGTTGCTAGTCCCCTTCTTATCGTCCCTCTCCCTTTCCTTCCTTTTCTCCCCTGCTCTGGAAGACTCACCTCACCTGGCCCTTGTGATGTCTTCTGTGTTTATGTACTTTTGGGCCTTGGCTAGCAGCTCTGGCATGCTCTTCGGTGGGTACTTCAGAACTGAGAAAAGGAAGCTTGATGAACAGAGGCCACCCAAGAAGGCGGTCATCGTCACCTTGTCGTTGGGTTCATCAACTTGGAGTACCTCCTCGTTAAAATGAGTGAGGTAACTTCTCAAGCTCTCATCGCGGTCCTGCTTTATACTAAGTAGATGTGTAACTGGCTTCTGGTGGCGACGCCCTCCAATAAAGTGTGAGACGAATGATCTGCTAAGCTCGGCGAAAGAGGTAATAGAAGCAGGGGAGAGCTTAGCAAACCACTGTCGGGCAGACCCCTTTAACGTGGTTGGGAATGCCCTGCACATGATTTCGTCTGGTACGTTTGGCAATTGCATCAAGGTCTTGTAAGTGTCGAGGTGGTCCAGTGGATCCTTTGTTCCATCAAAGGTCTCCACAGATGGCATTTTGAACTTCTGAGGGAGGGGGTAGTTTGCTACATCAGGTTTGAAAGGGGTATCAGTACGCCTTACCAGGTGGTCAACAGTCTCGGGTCCCTGTGCCTTCATGGCGTTGAAGACATCACCGAGTTGATTTTGTACCTCCTTTATCTTCTCGTCCCAATGATTGGGGGCTCCTCTGGAATGATCATGGAAGTGGCTTCCATGCCCCATGCTTTGGTTTTCACCCTCATCCTCCTGGAGATAAGGGTCCTCTCCCTGGGAAGCAAGGGGAGGGGGAGGTGGAGCTCCCTCATGTTGGGCTTCCTGAAGTGGGGTGCCCAATGGGGCGCCCGGGCGTGGAGCAACAGGGCGTGGTGCTCCTTGATGTCCAGGATGTGGAGCTCCTTGGGGTGCTCTATGTTGTGCACCTCCGTGGGGCCCTCCACGTTGTGCACCTCCGTGTGGTGCTCCACGTTGTGCACCTCCGTGTGGTGCTCCACCTTGGGGTCCTCCATGCTGTGCACCTCCGTGTGGTGCTCCTCCTTGTCCAGCAAGTATGAGTTGCAGTAACTGTTGGTTTTGAGCAACCAGTTGCTGCATGGTCTCCAATATTTGCTGGGGATTCGGAGCTAGAGTATCCGGAACATGGTTGATAGGCCGGGGAGCAACCTCCTCCTCTCGTGGAGGATTTTCTTCATGTTGGTTCATGGATCGAGTAGTGATCGCCATTAGTTAATGGATGTAATGTTCAGGAGTGATAATTTTGTCGATTTCCACAGACGACGCCAAACTGATGATGCATAAAAATGGTTTTGCACACCACCTTTCAAGTGTAGGTAATAAATGCAGTGAAATCAATGAGAAAATTAAAGAAGACACGATTTATAGTGGTTCGGTCAATTCGACCTACGTCCACTCTTCAATGGTTTCAGTTGCCGGGTATTTTATTAATTCAAAGATATGGAGAATAGAGATACAAGCTTTGAGAGAATGGAGAATCAAAGAAGCAGTGGTTTCCGGTCGTTGGTCTGTCCTCTGTAAGTGTTGGTGGGGCATGCCATTTATAGTAGTCTTCTAACAGATTGAGACTACTTTATAGCAGCTAAGAGATCATTCTTGTGGATATCATGACTTATCCTCAAGACTACTTCATAGCACTAAAAGATCATTCTGGTGAAGATTACGACTTATCCTCAACGGAAGGAGGAGGTTGGGGAGCTATTCATGAAACGCGGTCAAAGATTGGATCGTTTCCTTCGGTTGTGCAGATAAGCTTCCCATGCTTTCTTCTTGATGACGTGCTAAGCAAAAAGTTTAACCGGTCTTGGACTGTCTTGGGTTTGGTGGATTCAAAATGAGGTTGGGCTCCTCAACTGGGGTTGGACTTTAACACATAAATTGGACTATTTAGGCTTAACCCATCAAGAGTGATAATTTTTGAGACCATTCATAATATAATTTTGAGATTAACTGTTGACTTAATAGCTATTCTCCCCGCTATTAAACCTAAGATTGTAGGTTCGAACTTTTTTATTTCCTTCTCCTATAATGTGCTTGACCAAAATAAATTATATACGATTTGAATTTAATGTGACATGAACTCAAAACATTTATAACTATGAATACTAAATGGAGTTAAAATAATATTCATTTAATTTTAACAGGATAAACTTGTTATATTATATGAAAAAGGTATCTATTTTGATAATTTTATTTAATTTTGTTAGGATATAAACTAAGTAGATTTATAATCAATTTAATTTAGAGAAGATAAGGTTTCAGAGATTATAAGTTTACTAAATACGATTAAAACATAAAATGAGCTAAAATAATACGATATACGTATGACACATACACAATTTGAATATAACATTAATCACTAATTGTAATCTATACAAAAGTACTAATTCATGTCGAATCATATCATTTTCAAGATGTGTTATTCAGATTTATGTCTAATTTATATAATACAATGTAAGGAAATTAAAAAAAAAATTGTTTTATTTATAATATCAATTAATCATATAATTCATGTTAATCTTAATCTAATTTATTTAGTATTCATATTAATCTATCATTTCATTTTCAATTGGGTGGCAACGTGGGTGACACTTAAAAAAGCCAAACCACGTGATTAAGGCTGTACAAGCATCAAACGCAACCCACATGGTCGATCCCTCTTTCGAATCACGCCAAAACAAAGACAACCCCCAAACCCCCGGAGCGTGTTCGGATGCCCGGATTGAATAGGATATCATATTTGTGTTTATTCCCAGCCATGCCCTAACCCACTCACAACTTTTTCTTTTTTTTTTTTAATTGTCGGATTTTCGGGTTTATGGTGATTACTCTCGAATAGGGTTGTTTATCCTATTCTATGAATAAAAATTATGGTATTTTATTTTTTTATCCGATACAATTTTTTTTAGTTTACTCTACTTGATCAAGTGTATTATTACTATTTGAATTTCGTCCAAAATAATCGGGTAGAAAGTCGGGTGAACATAATATTTCTTAGTTATTAATTTTTGAATCATTTTAATAATTCAATTAAATAACTCACACCAATTAACCAACACAATTTAACACATTAACAGTGTTTTTGATTTGTGATTTTTGCACACATTAACGGTATTAAAATATTAAAAATTTATATATATATATATATTCAAGTAGGGTCGGATAGGAAGACGAAATTTTTATGAGTATTTTACATTTTTACCTAATTTTTGTAGAATACCAAAATTTCTTCNTATTCAAGTAGGGTCGGATAGGAAGACGAATTTTTTATGAGTATTTTACATTTTTACCTAATTTTTGTAGAATACCAAAATTTCTTCTACTTGATTTTTTGCGGTAATAGATTAGTAGGGTACAATCAAAATATTTGAATAATTATAAATTTGAACATCTCTGCTCTCAAGCTTAGATACTAATTATTGTAATTCAACTAATTCTTTATTTTATTTGATTAAAAGCAAGTCATCCACTTTAAAATTAACATATTTATAAAAATAACTATACAAAATTATTTATATTTAAATTCAACAAGTTTAAATTTACTTTTTTTCCTATTACTATATGAGCTAGCTGGTTAATGGTATATCATGTCATAACCAAAATTTGGTGAGAAATTTTCTACTTCGTGGGGCCGCGGGGATGAGCGGGCCACGGAGATAAGCGATGTGAAAAGCATTGTTTTAAAGTTATTTTGACTATTCTACCCTTTTCTGAAAAACAAAAAAATTAACAAAAAAGCATGGATCACGAGCGCCAATGGGGGATAAAATGCGCAGAGGAGGTCCAAACACCTCAGTCTCTCTCGATCCTCTTCGTCAACCATTCACTAACGTGCGCTCCTATCAGTCTCTCTCTCTACCTGCCTACCATGGCGATCTCTGTCCAATTCTCTCGTTTCTCTACCCGTACGGACCTCCCCTTGCCGGAGTCAAAGCTCTTCCGACGCCGGATGCCTGTCTCCGTCCGATGTTCCGGAGGAGAAGCTGCTTCGTCTTCATCAGTGACCGTTGATTCGGACTTCGATCCTAAGGTGTTTCGGCATAACTTGACGAGAAGCAAGAATTACAATCGCAAGGGGTTCGGACTCAAGGAAGAGACTTTAGAGCTCATGAATCGAGAGTACACCAGTAAGTTCTTGATACAGAGCCAGGATTTTTCTGCTTGATACAGAGCGAGGAATTTTTCTACTTGATACAGAGCCAGGAAGTTTCTTTTCCTTGTGGTGCTTCAAGTCAATTGTAGAGAAAAGCGAGGAAAAGAAAAGAAAAATCATTTTCTGTTGGTTATATCGTTAGCTTTGGGGAATTTTCTTTGTTTTGTTTGTCGTGTCATTGGCAGAAACAAAATACCAAAATTTCCCAAGTTTTGGGGGTTTCAAAAGAAAATAAGAGAGAGAATTTTTATAATTTACATTTTCATTTTCACCTGGAAAATATATGAGGATTGAGAAGTTCCAATCCATTTACTAAATAGCTGTCAAAGACTTAAATTGAGTAAATTGTTGTGTCCTTTGTCAGTAAAAATTTCACAATCTTTTGTGTATTTTGTTTTTCTCTCTCTTCTATTTTCTGGGGAATTATGATTGTTTCTTCTTCTAATTTTCTTTGTTTTTGGGTTCTGTAATTATATATCATAGAATATGGAAGTTAATAAGTTTAGTTTGACCGTTTTAATTGATTGCATGTGTAATTTTGTGCACCGGTTTGCTTTGACTTTCATAGTAACACAAGCTGGATCTTTCTTAATTATTCCATCTATGCACTTTGACACCATGGTTACTTTGATGTCTTCAAGATTACATAAACACCTGATTTCTTGATTTTCACTCGAAACGCATCTATGGGTGTGTTTTGTTACATCTGGACATGTGAAATTATAGCAACAGTGCAGTGTTTTTTCCNACCTGGACATGTGATGACTGACGTGTTTGCATAGAATTTTCCATAGAATTATAATTTTGGAGTTTGATTAGAGTAACTTCCCTTTGTATTGAAAAATTTCAGGTGACATCATAAAAAAATTGAAGGAGAATGGGCATGAGTACACATGGGGAAATGTTACTGTAAAACTCGCAGAAGCGTATGGATTTTGCTGGGGTGTGGAGCGCGCGGTCCAGATTGCTTATGAAGCCAGAAAACAGTTCCCTACAGAGAAGATTTGGCTCACAAATGAAATTATTCACAATCCGACCGTTAATAAGGTCCATAAATTTCCTTCCAAACACTGATATATTCATAGCTTATGCGATGCTGTTTTATATAAACTTACAATTGAGAATTGAAGAACTTTCGTGCTGACAGATTGTACTGTAGCACAATTTTGGCTTTGAACTGGTAGGGGTAAAGTNCACTGATATATTCATAGCTTATGCGATGCTGTTTTATATAAACTTACAATTGAGAATTGAAGAACTTTAGTGCTGACAGATTGTACTGTAGCACAATTTTGGCTTTGAACTGGTAGGGGTAAAGTCATCAATCCATAGCAAAATAAACAAAATTGGGTGTGTTGATGTCGGGCCTATCTGATGCTCCATTTCCCCAAAAAACATCTGCCCACTGCCCATCTCACTTGGGATCCAGATTTAAATTTTTAGTTGTGGCTAATTCTGTATCGTGAGAGCACTTGTGAAGAAACCACTGAAACTTTGAAGTCTCACTACACAAAAAAATTTCTTTCTTGGAAAAGAATTTTTGTATTGAATACTTTATTCTTTTGGAATCATCTACAACATGGTATTGTATTTTCTCTTCAATTGTTTTGTGATTGCTTTATTTTTTATGTTTGCTTGCACGGGTTTGAAATTTTGGGATTCTGTTTAAGTTCTTATTAAATACATTTCCATGCTTTTAGCCTACTTAATCCTTTCCCTCTCCTTGTTTGCTTTCACTTCATGTTTGTCTGTTGAATTATGTGATTATCTGGTTTGTGTCTTAAATCACAGGGGCATGTTTAAACATTTAGAAATTTATAGTTGTGCTTCTACCATACTTCTCTCCGATTTTCGTAGTGTATATTTCTTAGAACCAGCTGGTAATAGTTACACATGATAGTGCTGTCATTTAGGATTGTTGTTGAAAGATTTTGATGACAAGAGATAGTTGGGGGGGGGGGGGGGGGGGGNGTATACATCAATCATTCATGGTAAATATTCCCACGAGGAAACTATAGCCACTGCTTCATTTGCAGGAAAGTATATTATCGTAAAGAACATGGCAGAGGTACTTTAGCTTTTCCAGTGTATTGAACGTGTATTAACGTTGTGGAATAGTAAAGAAATCATTATGAGATATTCCTGATAACTTGAAATTCAATATTGATCCAGGCTACGTATGTCTGTGACTACATTCTTGGAGGTGAACTTGATGGATCTAGCTCAAGCAAAGAGGCTCTTCTAGAGGTGCATTTTGTGAAGCTTGGTCTACCTTAAATTTTTAGGTCTTGGCCATTATGCTGAATTTTTCTTTTGTTATCTGTTTGCCACAGAAATTCAAATTTGCAGTTTCTAAGGATTTTGATCCAGAGATTGACCTGGTAAAACTTGGTATTGCTAACCAAACTACAATGCTGAAGGGGGAAACGGAGGAGATTGGTTAGATGCAGTTTTACTATTTCTTTAGTTCATGTGTCTATGAATTGCAAGTTTGTGAATTTTGGTTTATTTTCAACACTACAGGGAAACTAGTGGAGAGGACCATGATGCGTAAATATGGAGTGGAAAAAATCAACGACCACTTCATTAGTTTCAACACAATTTGTGATGCCACACAAGTAATTTCTTTTTCTTTTTCATTCGTTCTCTCGTGTTTGGGCTTTGGTGAATCTTCTTTCAGAATCTAGCTAATCTTTTTCATAGGAGCGGCAAGATGCCATGTATAAGCTGGTGGATGAACAACTTGATCTCATGTTAGTAATTGGTGGGTGGAACTCAAGCAACACTTCACACCTACAAGAGATTGCAGAGGACCGTGGAATCCCTTCATATTGGGTTGATAGTGAGCAGAGAATAGGTCCTGGAAACAAAATAAGTTTTAAGTTAGTGGTAAGTCTGTACAGACAATTCTCATTTCGCTGCCATTCCTATATTTGAAAATATGTTTTTTTTTCCCCTTCTGCTGAAATTCTCTTCTTGTGACAGCATGGCGAGCTGGTTGAGAAAGAGAACTGGCTACCTGAGGGTCCTGTTACAATAGGTGTAACATCTGGTGCATCTACCCCTGATAAGGTAATTGTACGAGTCACACTTCCGCCCTAAGGCTTTCAATAATGAATTTTTTGACATGTTAATTAAGCATAGTACCTTCTCGTGACCTCATTTAATCGATTTCAGAGGTTTGTTGGTTTTCTTCTATTTTTTCTTTTTGGGAAGTGATTGTTATCTCGTCTAAATGGAAATGTGCAGGTTGTTGAAGATGTTCTTATCAAAGTATTCGACATCAAACGTGAAGAAGCTCTGCAACTGGCATAGAGACTAGGTTTGCATTTAAACAATGGATATTAGCATGGGCTTAGTTGATGGACAATTAAAATGAATTGCTCTCTGCATCTGTTCTAGGGCACTATGAAAGTATATGTTGTATGTATAAAAAACTCATGGTTTTTCTTCACTTATTTATGGGAACTTGACTTATTAATACGACTGACTCTCTCTCTCTCTCTCTCTCTCACACACACACACACACACGCACAAATTTTGTACATACCCACGAAATTAAGATATAATATAAGAATTATCCTCTAACATTGGCTATAAAAATAGATAGAATCAGTAGATTAATGTATTTTTTACTTAGTTATTTAGAAATGTATTGCACTATAAAAAAAAAGGAAAAATTTAAGCCACACTTTTTTTTAGTTTATCATATGTTTAAAGAAATCTCATTTATTATTTGAAACATTAGACATTTTTTTTAATTTATATTTAAATATCACTGACACCCCTTGTTATTAAACCACCCTTTTTAACAAAAAAAAATCATTTAAAATATCAAACTTACCTCTACATAAATTTCAAACAATATTTTTTTGATTAAATTTGAGCAGATTAATTTTTTTATATATATATATTAAAATTTGAGTCTATTAAAATTTGAGTCTATTAAAATTCAATTTAGATTAATTAATTTTTTTTTTATGTATTAAAATTCAAGTCTTAAAATTTATTTTTTTACGTATTAAAATTTAAGGCGATTTGAGCTCTCTAAACTGTTAACGCTGATTAAAGTTTGAATCAATTCGATTAAAATTTATTTTTTTCACATATTAAAATTTAAGTCGATTAAAATTCAGTGTAATTGATTAATTTTTGATTCGAGCAAATTAAAATTCGTAAAAAAATTCATAAAATATAGGAGATTTTATTGAAGATATATCTATCTAGAGGGGGTGTGGATGAAATTTTGCCTAAAATATATCATGGTAATTTAGTAAAATTTTATTCTAAAACTTAAAAAATGGATGAGATGTCTCTAAAAATATGATTAATTTGAAGGAGTGTGACTGAAATTTTTTCAAAAAAGAAAAGAGTGGTTTTGAAAGGGCGAGGGTATAAAAAGTAATAGATAAAAAACGAAAAAAGAAAGAGGGTAATTAAAAAGGTGACGGGATAAAAATAAATAGTTTGACTTGTGTTTTAATTTTAAATAATGACAAAAGTATATCTATAGCGAGAAGGGGTATGTGTGTGATTAATTTTAGATAATGACAATGACAAGAGTGGGATTGAAAGGGCAATAAGATAAAAAATAATAGTTAAAAATAAAACAAATGAAAGAGTGGAATTAAAAGAGTGATGAAATAAAAATAAATAATTTGACTTGTACTTTAACTTTAGACAATGGCAAAAGTATACCTATATCGAGAAGAGGTGCGTGTATGTGTTTGAGAGAGAGAGAGTGATTAGTGATATCTAATGTACATTATTTTTTTTAATTTTTTAACTTTATTACTTTTTTGTTAAGTTTAATTTTTCAGACCTAAATCATTTAACTAAGATTTTTTTATTGGTTGAAATTTTAATTAATTTTTTTTGTTGGAATCAATTTTTATAAATTAAAATTTTTAGTATAAACTATATTATAGACCTATAAATTTAAGACCTTAGTCTAAAACCCGTGCTTGAGTGACCTTACGAATTTGCCGGCCTTGAGAGAAGTTTCTCACTCTTATTGCACCTGATACTCCTAAAGGTGAAAATGAACCAAACCAAGATGAGCAATAATCTGCAAAAATCGAATCGTCGGTTGGTAAAAAAAAATGTTCAAGCTTAACTCGGGTTTATGATGAGTTTCAAACATCTTATCAAGCCACGGTCATCGAGCTTGGCTCCACGTACCTCATCTGATTTAACCAACCAAATAAGAGCTCTTGCACTTGTATTCAAGATCAAACTCAATTAATTTACATACACGTATACTCTACATAAAATGTTATATACTAATAACACCCGTGTTCTAAGAAACTCTGCAATATCAAAAATTGAGTATTAATTATTTAAAATTTATATTTTAAATAATAATTTATTTTTAATTTTTTTTCTTTAAGAGAGAGGAGAGAGAAGTAAGGGAGAGAGGTAGTGTACACTAACAGGGTTGTCGAGCATTGGAGAGTTGTGCAAAAAAATTGATATTTTTAAGTGAAAAAAAAATTGAAATAAATTTTATACCATTAGATCAATACTTGACCGTTGTATTTTTATAAGTTCAAAATTCAACTTGTTAACTTATAATATTATATATATAAATTATATGTATTTGTTTGTGTATATATAGATATGGTCACGAGCCAAACAAGTTATAAAACTATTCCTGAACAGTTCAACTTGATAACTCCACCAATGTGTGTAGAGAATAGGAGAATTGAACACATTGTACTTTCTGGTCTATGGCCATGGGACAAAAAGGGTAGAGTCTATATCACGAATGCAAAGCCCGTGACACCACAGTATACCCTAACCAGTGAAAAAATGCCAATGTCCATTCACGGGCTGTATAATCCCCTGCCATTCAATTCATTCCCTCCACCAGTTATTCCCTATATAAAGGACCCCCTACTTCCAATACAAAACCACCAAGAAGCTGAGTAACACACAGAAAAACAGAGCAGCCATTGTATGCACTGACATAAATAGCCATGAATTCTTACCAAAAAGTTGCAGTTCTGGCTCTTTTGCTGGTAGCCATTGCCGGCAATGGGGTTTTTCTTCAGCTATCCCATGCCCAGAACATTTGCAACATTTCCAGCGAGGGTCTCATGGCCTGCAAGCCATCGGTGACTCCTCCGAACCCGACCCCGCCATCAGCGACGTGTTGCTCGGCATTGTCGCATGCTGACATGAGCTGCCTTTGCTCCTACAAGAACTCCAGCCTCTTGCCTTCCCTCGGAATTGACCGAAAACTCGCCATGCAGCTCCCTGACAAGTGCAAGCTTCCTCATCCGCCATGCTAAAGTGGCAAGCAACATGGCTGTGGCTAAAAGAGAGAGCATCATAATAACATGACCTTGTAATGCTTCTCTTTAGCATATGTTATATTGTGAGATTTCTTAGTTTTCCCGTTTTCTATGATATGCTGCAAGGTGTACTGGCTGTAGCCTGTAAGCCTATGATCCACTACAAAAGAAACTCACTCTCTCTCTCTCTCTCTCTCACACACACACCCCAAAAACAAAAACAAAAATGAACACCCCCCAAAAAACCCACCGCATGCTTTTGCCCTATCTATTTATCTATCACTCTTCAATCTAGAAACACCCTGGGAGTTACACAGATACATCATCCTTCATCTTTGTAGAATTAACATAGCGACATTAGACAAGCAGAAACATGCAATCCACTTATTAGAAAAGGAATACATTGCAGTTTCAGGTGCAAGTGACAGAAGACATAATGCTACAAAGAACTGAAGAACTATCGTCTGCAAGATTTACCCGAACACAAATAGAGGTCTATTAAGCTAGGATTGCAGTGTATGAAAAAAGAATAAGTTGCTGATTCGGGTGCAAGTGAAGATAAAGCTACAACTGACCAAAAAACGAAAGAAAAACATAAAGCTATACAGAGCTGAAGAATTACCGTCCTCAAAGCCAAACACAAGCAGAGGATTATAAAGCTAAAATATACAATTGCACAACTAACAAACCTCATGTCCAATAATTCAACTTCAGGAAGTGAATTTCTAAGATGTAATTAGAAGGATGAGCACAAGAAAACCAAGAATCAATAAACACAACTTGATAACAAACTTCATCCAATCCCCTTGAGTGGCATGCTGATGAAAAGCAAGAGCATAACCCCCATGAAAAGAAGAAAACATATAGGGGACTCCACTAATTGCTCCATATACAGTGGCATCTTGAAATCCATGCACCTGAAGGTTAAAAAAGGATGGAATAGCACCAAAAAGAGCAGACAATGTTAAGCTCCCAAACCTTGCAGTCACCATTGGCACGAAACCCCCAATCAGATCAAGCTCGTCTCGTTGGAAATAGTTCATTTTCGAAACCGGAGCAGTTTGGGGTCTCTGTCCTGCAGGGCGATTGGGAATATTAACTCCAGGTACCAACAGAGATCGTGGATCTGAACTTGATTTACCCCTCCCATATATAGGAACCAATTTCCCCTCCTGTATGAGGGCCTTACAAACTGGGCATTCATGTGAATGTGAATGAATATGCAACCAATTGTAAAGACAGGGCCAACAGTATAGGTGGCCACAAAGGGTCACAATTGGGTCTTGAGCTAATTCAAAGCATATATTGCATTCAAAATCACCAGTATCACAACTAGTATCTCCAGAACAAGATGTGCCAATTAATCCCCCAAACCCACTTTCCATAGCCAAAGCTGAAAACTTCAACTGCCTGCCATTCATTTCACACTACCATTCAAATTCTGACATCATCATAATCTGTAGTAATAGCGGTAACCCATGCTATGCACGGCCAATTGACATAAAATTCATGGTTGATGTGCTTAGGAAGAATAACCTCCATAGCCAGAATATTAGTAATTCGAACTCGTGCCATAAAAATCTATTAGCCAATTAAGAAAACATCTTAGAAGGGATGGAGGTAGTGGGTGATTAGGGGTAGTTAGCTAAACTTAAACAGTGATCCTAATCTATCTATATATACTAATAAATAATGAAGGATAGATGTAATGCAGTAATTAGGGGCAGTTACTAGGATTGGAGAATGGAGCAATAGGAATATACCAAGCAAGAGTTTCCATAATTAAAAATTCAAGAATTTAAGATATTATTATGGCAGACCCACCAATAGAAAGGTGCCAAAAAAGATTTTCAAAAATATGAAAAATTACAAATTGAAGGGATGGAGGTTTGGAGCTCAAAGAGAGCAACTACATTGCTATCTGTTGTGGTATAGATAGATTGGATCTCAAGACTAGAAAAATCACCAATTAATGTGCAACAAGAAAGGAACCCAAAACATACAAATAACTCAAACAAAGGATATCCTACTACTATCAATTTCCTCCAAGTAAATTAATCAAACACTTAATCTCAAATGTTTTAGCAATAATACGTAAATTCAGATTCTTAAGATTGAGAGAAATGCACCAGGTAAATCAAGCCCATCAAATCACCAGAAAAATAAAAAACCTTGGCAACCAATCAAATTTCAAAGTAAAAATACCAGAAATTCGTTTAATANAGGATATCCTACTACTATCAATTTCCTCCAAGTAAATTAATCAAACACTTAATCTCAAATGTTTTAGCAATAATACGAAAATTCAGATTCTTAAGATTGAGAGAAATGCACCAGGTAAATCAAGCCCATCAAATCACCAGAAAAATAAAAAACCTTGGCAACCAATCAAATTTCAAAGTAAAAATACCAGAAATTCGTTTAATAGCAGAGGAATAAAAAAAAGAAAAAAGAAAGAAAAAACGGATAATGTAGTTCCATTTTCCCCCAGCGAATGCATTTAATTTCCGCGATACAACCAAGATCCAAAAGTTTCGTTTTCTATTTATAACCTTCGCGTAAGAAGAAAACATAGTAAGAATCAATCAAAGCATACCAGAAGAATCGGAGAAAACAGTACAAATTAGGGTTTCGTTTCAAGTCGCTAACAGATCTAATCATGCAAACAATGCAAGAATATAAGTAACAAAATACATTCACATAGAGAGAGAGCACTGACCTACAAGTTCGGTTTGAGGTAGATCTTAGAGAGATTCTTTGGAGAAGAAAAGCAAATGGCAAACTTCTGCTCTGTTCTGTTGCTCATTACAACGGAAATTAATGACNAAAGAGAGCACTGACCTACAAGTTCGGTTTGAGGTAGATCTTAGAGAGATTCTTTGGAGAAGAAGAGCAAATGGCAAACTTCTGCTCTGTTCTGTTGCTCATTACAACGGAAATTAATGACATAATCCTGTAGATATGATATAAATATTTAAATATTTGAAGGTTCAAAGTGTAGTTTTTAAATTTTTTTGGGATGAAAAATATGATTCTCCCTAAATTTAATAAATTTTAATTAAAATTTGAGCAAAAACAAATTAAAAATAAACGTTAATCTTTTAATCAAACTCATATCAAATAAAAGAATATTAAATTTTTTATTCAAATAAAAGGAAATTTAATTTTTTTACTTAAATTTCAAATAATCATATTTCACACTTCTTTATTTATTTATTTAATATATCTTTATCTTTCTTACTTTTCAATCTCTTTTAAAATTGAATTAAGTTCAAAAAATTAAAGTACTATTTGGTTTGAATCTCATAATTTTTTTTTATTTTTGGAAATAGTTTTTAGGATAAAAGTTATTTGATCACCTGTTTTTTGTTTTTATTTTTATTTTTTAAAGTTGAGAACAAAAAATAGATAAATTTAAAGAACACATTACAACTATTTTATATGTTTTTAAAAAACAACATTTTCAGAATTTAAAAAATGTCATTACCACCATTCCACCTCCACCACCACCACCACCCTCCATCACCACCGCCACTACCACCAAACAAGTTTTGTTATTTTTTATTCCGTATAATTATTTTTAAAGTCATATAATCAAACAAGTTCCGCAACACGTACAAAATCAAAAATTTGAAAAAATACGGAATATTAGCAAGAAATTTTGAGAAAAAATCTAAGTTTTTCCAATAAAATATTTTTGCATCGAATCAAGTCTTGTTTTTTTTTTCAAAATTTAACTCAAATTTAAATAAAAAATTGTGTCATGCATGATTGAAAATGACCGTAAAGGATGTTACTGGTGAGACATTTTTGATAAGAACCATGTTCCATTGCCCATTTTAGTTCTAGGAATAGTCCAGTCAACTCACATAGGAAAATGATAACGACAATTGAAAGGGAATTGTAAAACTCACTATCTACTCCATAAAATCACTAGATCACCCCTTCAATCTACTTTATCAAATCACATTCACACTCGCAATGCACAAGTAAAGATTTCTCCAAACTCTCTAGAAAGGGGCACAAAAGGAATGTGTACACCTTTGGATAAACTAAAGTAATGGTGCCACGTGTCCTAGAGCACGCGACAAAAAGTCCGAATGTGGAGAGCGCGTGGAGAATTTACAAAGTATTTATACCTTAGTCACCAATTCGACAATCAAACCACCTAGACTGAACCAATGATATAACTGTGATAAAAGCAAGGTTGAGTATATCTCGTAGAATCTATTATACAGAAGCAATCCGTTATATAAGATAGTTAGTCTATCCCAAGAAATCACAGTCNACAAAAATAAGGTTGAGTATATCTCGTAGAATCTATTATACAGAAGCAATCCGTTATATAAGATAGTTAGTCTATCCCAAGAAATCACAGTCACAAGCGAGCGTTATCAACGTATCATACGAGATAGAGATTTCAACATCAAGATCAGGGAAAAAACAAAAGTATTTGATTTACTAATAGCAGTATAAGAACAACAATTATACTAGCATTTGCTCCAACCTAAGCAAGACACATTTTTGTGAATAAAGAAGGATAAAACTCACTTTAACATACCTTGCTAAAGTCGGAATTTGTTCGACCTTACAAAAGTAAGGGTTTGTTTGCACTGGAGAATGATGAAATAGGAAAAAACTTTGGCGACACTCTGCTCATGATTTTGTTTTAAGGTAAGGAAGTTGAACGTGAACTCTTCTTAGCTATGAGCTCAAAAGGAGTAANCGTTTGTTTGCACCGGAGAATGATGAAATAGGAAAAAACTTTGGCGACACTCTGCTCATGATTTTGTTTTAAGGTAAGGAAGTTGAATGTGAACTCTTCTTGGCTATGAACTCAAAAGGAGTAAAGTTCGTCTATCGATCATAATAAAAGTACACCCTCCCTCTTATTAGTTCTAAACTCATGGTTGAAGAGAGAACTTCTTACTGAAGGAGGCAGTAGGAATAAAGGAGGCGGGAAACCACCGCTTCAAGGCAGTCCAGGCAAGAGTTAGGTGTGCCACTTAGTATGTCCCACAACGAAAGCCTTAGTAGAGAAATGTCATGCAATGCTTGTCAAAGGCACATACATTTTTTTTTTCTACAATTATATTTGTTTACTCTCAAAGCATTTACTAACTTAATCATCGGAGGGTTTAACCTAATCTTTGACAATTTACTCGTTTTACAAGAAGAACATGTAATCCTTATTTGTTTTTCTAAATTAAATTTTAATAAAATCATTAAAAATTATAATTTTCGATATGATCGTATCCTAATAATAATGCAGTCTTTCCTTGTATGTCTTAAACATAAAGTGCCTCACTAGCACTTTGAAAATTTCTATCCTGTTATCTTGCAGTGACATTCGTGCCATATGGATCAAAGAGTTTCTCCAATACCGACTATAATGCAATGACTTGGTGGCTATCTTACAATTATTTGGCAATGAAAGTCATAAGCAACCTCAAATCATTAAAGTTTGGGAGAAATACATTCAGACTATCTGAAGTTTGTCATTTAATCACTCAGACTCTTTGACATTTAAAATATTATACACAAACCCCCTGAAGTTTATAAATACATAACACTTAGGCCCCGCTATCAAATATCCGTTAGTAAATTATACTTAGACCTCCTAAATTTATAGGTATATAATATTTAGACCCCTCAAATTTAAAATATTATATTTAAACCAAAAATACTGCGATCAAAGATAGAATATCAAATATTTTAAATTTTAAAACCAAAATTCTATATTATCTATTAAAATTTAATTTGGTCATTTAAACGACCAAATTAATCTATCAAATTATCCTAATTAAAGTTAGAATATATTATATCTATTACAGTTTGACCTCTTATTTGATTTTTTTAGTTTTATTCTAATAGATAGTATAATTGTATATTAATTATGATTTTTTAAGAAAATTTAAAATTTTATTTTTTATTTCATTTCAATAAATGATGTAATAGAACATGAATTTTGATCGTAAAATTTTAAATATTTGATATTTTATCTTTGATTAGAGTATTTTTTATCTAAATATAACATTTTAAACCTGAGAGGTCTAAATATTACACGCTTACACAATTTAGGGGGTCTAGATATAATTTACTAACGGATATGCTAGTAACAGAAGTTTAAGTGTTACGCGCGTACAAATTTCAAGGGATCTGTATGTAATATTTTAAATATTAAGGAGATTGAATAATTAAATAATAATTCTTCAAAAATCAAAGTATAATTCTCTCATAAAGGTTTAGTTCTTCGATCACCCTAAATTATTAAAGATTCCACTGTGACAGGAATCTAATAAATTAGTAATTCCATTATTGGTCTCGAATAATTAAAATAATCGACGAGATATCAAAAAATTAGTAGCGGCAAATCAAGGGGAAAGGGACAGTTATGAATAAATAAATACTTCATCAGTTAAATGCTCACATCACTATGATTAGGAAAACACTGTGGTACCTAAAAATAAATTTTCCGTACAAAAAATAAAAAACAAAAAAATAAAAAAACTCAAAAGGTGGTAAGTTCTATATATAAAAAAAAGGTGATAAACTCTATCTAAAAAGTGCTAGGTGAACCCAAAGACTAAATGCACCTAACTTTACCCTAAAAAATAGAATAAGTATAATATAAATATGTCTTAACTATCTAATTGGATGCTTATTTAATTTATCTATAAGGTGTTATATTTATTTTTTTATAGATATATTTATTCATAAATTTAAGGGTTCTAATATAAAACATGGTGATCTATCTGACGATTTTAAATAAACTCATCTAACGGTCACTAATATATCTCTTTCAAAACTATTTACATTGTACTGTGTTTGAAGGCACGGGTTATCTTCAGTGCGTAAACAAATAAGAAAANTCTCTTTTAAAACTATTTACATTGTACTGTGTTTGAAGGCACGAGTTATCTCTAGTGCGTAAACAAATAAGAAAACGAAAGCCACACAAATTAATAACTACTTATAAANCCTAAATTATTAAAGATTCCACTGTGACAGGAATCTAATAAATTAGTAATTCCATTTTTGGTCTCGAATAATTAAAATAATCGACGAGATATCAAAAAATTAGTAGTGGCAAATCAAGGGGAAAGGGACAGTTATGAATAAATAATACTTCATCAGTTAAATGCTCACATCACTATGATTAGGAAAACACTGTGGTACCTAAAAAATAAATTTTCCGTACAAAAAATAAAAAACAAAAAAATAAAAAAACTCAAAAGGTGGTAAGTTCTATATATAAAAAAAAGGTGATAAACTCTATCTAAAAAGTGCTAGGTGAACCCAAAGACTAAATGCACCTAACTTTACCCTAAAAAATAGAATAAGTATAATATAAATATGTCTTAACTATCTAATTGGATGCTTATTTAATTTATCTCTTATAGGTGTTATATTTATTTTTTTATAGATATATTTATTCATAAATTTAAGGGTTCTAATATAAAACATGGTGATCTATCTGACGATTTTAAATAANAAGGTGTTATATTTATTTTTTTATAGATATATTTATTCATAAATTTAAGGGTTCTAATATAAAACATGGTGATCTATCTGACGATTTTAAATAAACTCATCTAACGGTCACTAATATATCTCTTTCAAAACTATTTACATTGTACTGTGTTTGAAGGCACGGGTTATCTTCAGTGCGTAAACAAATAAGAAAACGAAAGCCACACAAATTAATAACTACTTATAAANTCTAACGGTCACTAATATATCTCTTTCAAAACTATTTACATTGTACTGTGTTTGAAGGCACGGGTTATCTTCAGTGCGTAAACAAATAAGAAAACGAAAGCCACACAAATTAATAACTACTTATAAATGTAGTCGATAATTAATCAATTAAAATTTATTTTATATATTTAAAATATTATTATTAATTAGTGATATTTTGTCTTTAATGACAACCTGATATGAACGTTGCTTCGGACACCCTCTTCTGGACTATTTATGGGGTCCGCGATTGGTTGTGTTTCTGATTTGGTGTCATCAACGGATGAGGTGGCAGTTCCCGTGATTTCTAACAATTTCACCATCTTTTCGGTATTTCAATTCCACTCGACGCCAATACTTTGCAAGCAGGCCTCACAGTCGCAGTCCAGTCTTCGATAATCACTTTGTCGGAAATTTTCGTCCCATTGAAGTTGAGGTAACTCTCTCTTTCTCTCTCTTGCTCAATCATCATCTTGAAAATGGTTCTATCAATCTCTTGCATATATAATCGATCTTTTTTCACATTGATCTGATTTGAGACTCATAACTTCGAAACTGATCGTGTTCACTGAATTAAGATTGTGCCTTTAGGATTNTTTGTCGGAAATTTTCGTCCCATTGAAGTTGAGGTAACTCTCTCTTTCTCTCTGTTGCTCAATCATCATCTTGAAAATGGTTCTATCAATCTCTTGCATATATAATCGATCTTTTTTCACATTGATCTGATTTGAGACTCATAACTTCGAAACTGATCGTGTTCACTGAATTAAGATTGTGCCTTTAGGATTCAGTGAATTGAGGTTTAGGAGATTTTATTTGGGGCATAGGGATATGAATAGAAAGAAAATGGCGNTTCAGTGAATTGAGGTTTAGGAGATTTTATTTGGGGCATAGGGATATGAATAGAAAGGCAATGGCAGTCCAAGCATTAGAACATTCGGTCTTTCAGACTGTTAGGAGTAATTGAACTTGATGTTGTGATCGGCCGTACCAGTTCAAGATCAGTTTGAATGTGGTAGATATCAAGGCATCGTTCATTTTTTGGGAAGTGGAATTCAAAATCGGCCAAAAGAAGTGGGATTTGTAAGTGTTTGTGTTTGTGCTCACACACAAATGAGCATTACAGATTGATGGATGGGTGGATTATACAAAGATTGGTTCTATTTGATTATTCTCCATGAAGGAAATGTTCAAATTGTCCATACCGCTTTGAACTTGATCCCATAGTTTTTTATTACTAGAGAAAATTTAGCTTTTGCCTCCCTTAACGTGTCATAACAGCACTTAAAAACTAGTTCCGAAGTTGAAATTGGGATATTGAAGGAATTAAGCACTGGTCTGTCTAAAAATGTTGGGACAAGGTTCTGTTGACTTGAGTCAAGTTGAGTTCAAGCACTAGTCTTTATATGCAAATTCTTTTTTTTTCCAATGCAAACACTTGGTGGTAATTATGCTTCACAAAAACCGTCAGCTCACTTTCATTACCTCTGTCACATGCATTGCAACAAAAACTAACCGCTGACATCCCACAATATTCATTCAAATTTTCGCAATCTACAATTATGGATATTGATAAAAGGTAATGCTGACGAAAATGCTGTGTTCATTTTTCCCCTTTTGGATGATTACATGAAAACGAGTTCGTTTTTGCGTCAAGTATTGCACCAGAATTTTGGTATTGATGAGGAATCATGTAAGAGGACGGCCACTTTTTGATCATAGAAAACAATTGGTGTTCCTAGTAGTGATTCCTTCCAGATTTGTTTTGTGGTAATTCTTCCACTGTTATTTTGTCAAGTATCAAAAAGTGCGATTGCATATGTTGTTTTCAGTTTAATGTAATGTTCCTCTGTGTTTATTATGCTTGTTTGTTCAACTTGTTTATTGTGACATGATAAATATGAAATCTTTGTCCAACTATGTTTTTGCAGGTTGAATAAGTGAACTAGATAAACCATAATCCAGCGGTGTACTTGTATTGCTAGATCCTACCTTCAAAGAACATGTTTTGGTACTGAGTTTCCCAGAAATTAAATTATATCAGTTCCTAAAAACCAAGACTGTACTCCACCAAGTTGCTGTATTGCCATTATTCCAGTGAGCTTGTTTGTATTTCTTATTCCAGTCAGAAATTGTTTTGTGAGCTAAATTATACCAGTCATATCTGTTCAAGATTGCCATTGGCTTTTGTGGAATAGTTTCTTGGAAATCCCTGAAAGCTGATGGAAGCTCGCACGTCTCTTGTTTCAAGTGATGGACCAATGCAACGAACTTTGACTCCACTCAGAGTGTTGAGGGGTGTGATTTGTTTACTTGTGTTACTTTTGACAGCATTAATGATGTTAGTGTACTGTGGCTTTTTGACGGCTGTTGTTTTCCGACTATTCAACTTACACTACAGCAGGAAAGCAACATCCTTTTTCTTTGGCAGTTGGCTAGCTTTGTGGCCTTGTTTATTTGAAAAAATAAACAAGACTAAAGTGGTATTCTCTGGAGACCTTGTTCCTGCCGAGGAACGAGTATTAGTTATTGCAAACCACAGAACCGAGGTTGATTGGATGTACTTGTGGGACCTTGCATTGCGGAAGGGACGCCTAGGTTACATAAAGTATATTCTTAAGAGCAGTTTGATGAAACTGCCTGTGTTTGGTTGGGGGTTTCATATTATGGAGTTCATTCCAGTGCAGAGGAAGTGGGAGGTTGATGAGCAAATTATGCGCAACCTGCTTTCATCCTTTAGGAATCCCCAAGATGCCCTTTGGCTGGCCGTGTTCCCAGAAGGCACAGATTTCACGTAATTTCCTATACTCTTATTTTTTACCAATATGATAAAACCATGCCTCCCTATTATTTCATTTCTATTTAATACAAACTGATGTTGTAAAATGGACGAGCAAGTTGATATGTTAATATGCCTCACCATGAGGTTGTTCTTATGAGGGTTTTGGAAATTTATTTCATTATCATAGAAATGCCATGCAGCACATATTCGGGTTTTTGATTGTGGATTTTAAGGGCATGCAGTGATGCTTCTAAATCCTTGTAGAAACAACAGGCTTATATGTGCTTGCAGAAAACCATGTAATTGTAATAGCCATGTTTTGGTTAGTGCTTCCTATTCATGTTTCCATTTATATGACTTATTAAGTTTCAGTCATTGTTTCTAATGCAGTGAACAGAAGTGTATTCGTAGTCAAAAGTATGCTTCTGAAAATGGACTGCCTGTCCTAAAGAATGTCCTGCTTCCCAAAACAAAGGGTTTTTGTGCCTGCTTGGAGGAATTGAGAGGCTCCTTAGATGCAGGTTGTTTTTTTCCTTCTTAAAACCTTATATCGTTTGGAAATTTTGCTTTTTGAGATGATGGCGTATCTGATCACTTTGAACAAGGTTTATGAATTTCTGGGATGGCTTGAGGAAGGAGACGTAATTATTGCACATGCATGTTATCAGTAGTGTTTATCTTTTTGAGAATTCTTACAACGCTGGTTTTTTTTTCCTTAATGGCTTAAATTAAATCTGATATTTTAGTTTCTGAATCTGAATAGTGATCTAAGTTTAGTGAATTTCCTGAATCAGTTTTGCAGTGACCTTGGTGTAACTTGCAGACATGGGAGTTTCTGCCTAGGTGTTGCATTACTTTTTGATGCTTAGGCTGCCACTATAATTGCTGCCTGAGGGCTTCAGTTACATTTTTAATTTGGTATTTAGCCATCATTTTGTAAAGGAAAAAAGGGGACAAGAATTAAAAATTTTGAAGGATGAGTTCAGTGCGCTGTTCTTTCCCCTCTGTTAACCATTAGCAAATCATCGTTAGTTAATGTGTTCGCTTTACTTTTGCCACAATCAGTATTAAAGTTCATCAATTTCAAAGACATGAAAAAGGGGGGTTTTTTTTTTTTTTTTTTTGGGGGGGGGGGTTGCATATTCTGTTAGCAAAATAGGAAGACAACAAAGGGAAATATGGATTGCATCTAGATTCTATAACATCCTTGAATGTATATTAGTTTATGCGCTGCAACAGGTGAGATGGTGCTTGCTCAATTGTACTGTGTATTATGATTGTTCCATTTCCTTGTTTGAATGTTAAGTTATATATGCTATTCAACATTAAGGAAGATAATCTATTTATTTTTGATTCTAGGGAAATTATCAATACGGATTTCATATTGAACCTGTGGTTTGAAATTGATATCTACTCTACATCCTACTGACAATCCGTATGTCTGTTTTTATTTCACTTAGTTTATGATGCTACAATTGGGTACAAGCATCGGTGCCCATCTTTCTTGGACAATGCATGTGGGGTGGACCCATCCGAAGTTCACATTCATATTCGGCGTATTCCTCTTGCTGACATCCCAACATCCGAAGACAAGGCAGCTTCTTGGTTGATGGATACATTCTGTCTCAAGGATCAGTTGCTCTTTGATTTTTATTCAAAGGGTCATTTCCCTCGTGAAGGAATAGAAGGAGGTCTGTCTACCATGAAGTGTCTGGTAAACTTCATTTTTGTAATCATCTTGACCAGCATATGTGCATTTCTCACCTTTTTTTCCTCCATTTGGTTCAAAATTTATATTTCCCTTGTTTGTGCATATCTGGCATCTGCTACATATCTTGATATTCGACCATCACCCATTGTGGCTTTTTGAAAGCTGAACATTATTCCAATCTATTAATGTCATGAATGAACTGAGAATTAATGGGTTTTGAATGATCTTAATGACTAATTATATTTTTGCCTATGGAAAATTTATATTTCCAATTGATTTTGGTGGTTCTCTCAGCATCTAACCTAGAAATATTTCTGCTGTAAAATATTTCATCATTATTCATAAAGGCATATATCTCTTCGTAAGTGCCATTCTGATTTGTGACGGAATCCTTTGTGACATAACAATCAAGTTTGGTGTTTTGTTATAGTTGATATTACAGGCAGGGAAACATTAATTAGGCTGTACATATAAGAGATATATAGTACCAAGGATAAAAAAGATTAAAAAAAAAAAAACCCATTTAGCGAGGTCTCCACCTTCACCTTTAGATAATTGGCAAAAACTACCTTTGATTCCAGAATAACTGACAAATTCCTCATTTTATACATAGAATTTATGGATTGCTTATATTAACCGTAACTGAACTGTTAAAATATAAGAAATTCAAAATGATAAAAAATCATAAAACTAAGGGTTAATCGTAAATTGTACCCTGAAAGATCATTCGAATTTCAATTTGCACCCTTAAAGATCAAAAATCTCAATTTGCACCCTCAAAGATAGAAATTTGTATCAATTTGCACCCTCAAAGATAGAAATTTGTATCAATGTGCACCCCCAAAAATAAAAAATCTCAATTTGCACCATCAAAGATAGAAATTTGTATCAATGTGCACCTAAAACTAAATTGATAAATTATACCTAGATCCCTTATGCTGGTCACTTAATCATTTGAACCTCTTTACATTTAGAATATTACTCCTACATCTTATGACGTTTGTACACGTGTAACACGTAATCCCTTTTCGTTGATATCTGTTAATATAATCGTTAAAAAATATGATTTTATCCTAATAAAAAATTATAATTTCATATTACCCTTTATTTTATGGGTCCAATATACTCTAAAATGCAAAATCAAGCATACCATTTGAATGTCTAATAGAATAAAGGGTTGCACATTGAGTGATATATTACATTGGATATAAAAAATATTATATAAATATCTACATTTTATTGGACATTCAAATGGTAAACTTGATTTTGAACTTTAGAGTATATCGGACTCACAAAATAAAGGATAATATGAAATTATAATTTTTTATTAGGATAAAATCATATTTTTTAACGGTTATATTAATTAACATATATCAACGAAAAAGGGTTACGTGTTACACGTACACAAACGCCATAAAATGTAGGAGTAATATTCTAAACGTGAAGGGGTCCAAATGATTAAGTGACAAGTATGAGGGAATCTAGATATAATTTATCAATTTAGTTTTAGATATACATTGATACAAATTTCTATCTTTGAGGGTGTAAATTAAGATTTTTTATCTTTGGGGGTGCACATTGATACAAATTTCTATCTTTGAGGGTGCAAATTGAGATTTTTTATTTTTTGGGGTGCACATTGATACAAATTTCTATTTTTGAGGTTACAAATTGAGATTCTTAATCTTTGGGGGTGTGAATTGATATTCGAACTATCTTTCGGGGTGCAACTTGCAATTAACCCTAAAACTAAAGAGACACCCTTCAGCATGTAGAAAATTAATTTGGCAGATAAGGATGCACTACTATAGATTAAGAGTACATGTGACATTCAGTTGCAGGGAAATAAAAAATATGAATTTAAAATGATAAGAAAACTCGTAAAACTGAAGAGATGNAATTTGGCAGATAAGGATGCACTACTATAGATTAAGAGTACATGTGACATTCAGTTGAAGGGAAATAAAAAATATGAATTTAAAATGATAAGAAAACTCGTAAAACTGAAGAGATGCCCTTGGCCTTCAGCTCTTAGAAAACTAGTTTTACAGAATGCCCTTCAGCTCTTGGAAAACTAATTTGATTGATAATGATGTACTACTTACTACAGACTAGGGATAGAAGCAATATTTAGTTGAAGGGAAAGGTTTTTTCCATTAGTAGATTAAAGTGTGTATGACTTTTATTTGAAGAGAATTGACTGTCTTGTGGATTTGTTTATTATCATGATGTCATCTGTAACCATAACAGGATAAACCTGTTGACCAAAAATTTTAAGTTGGCTATATAAGCTCAAAAATCAGATACTATGGACAAGCACATATCTCCTCAATGAATTTGCTAAATTGACAATTTCAAAGGTAGTGCTGACTGAATATGATATGGTAGGATTGAAGTTGTAATCAGAGATCACGAAAAACTAGTGTTCTTCTGTTGAACTATAGTGGTTTCTAGAAGATGTAAGTGGTAGGCATCATTGCCTCCATTTTGAAGAGGCTGATTTTCGGGTGTGCTTGACTAGAGATGAGACGTGTTGGAGGAGAGAGGGGCCAGTCTGCCACTAATTTTTACCTTCACAAGATAGTTGCTAGCTACTTACCATGGAAATCATAATGCAAAAGATGATCTCAAAAAAGCCTGGAATTGAGTTATATAGGTCCAATCTTAGAGTTAGAAATGCAAGTCTACACCAAATGCATACTCTAAAACAAGCATGATCAAGAAGCACTGTAAAGAAGAAAAAAAGACGTATTCTAAAACTCTCAACATAAGGAATCAATCAGCATATGAAATACTAATACCATAAAAAAATGAATGAATTGGAAACAACGAACTTTCTAGACTTAGAAACTAGAAATGTCTATGCCTACAGATTACAAATGAGATCCAATATCCCTTATTCTTCATAATAACATGAATCTTTTTGCATGGACCCAAATTATAAACATTGAACGTGTGATTGGCATAATGATATATAGAAATAAAATAGATGTTTGCAGCATAAGAACAGTTGTTTGGTAAAGTATGAAGGAGCATGTTTCAAGGATTGGGATGTTTTATGATCCTCTGCAGAACCACAGTTCTTGCCCTGCGAATATCCCGGCTGCAGATATCAGCTTGCATCCCTAAATCCTCAACATTTTTCATAAGCACATCCAGCTTCTTCTTTATCTCAGCTATCCCAATCTGCACAGCTTCTTCCTTAATAGCAAAATCAGCATTCTGTAAAATCATTTCAATCTCAATTTCCAATCGGTCGATGAGTACCCGAATGTTCTCCAAGTCCTTAATTGCAACATAAGTACCCACATGCATAGAGTTAATGACTTCCTTCTGTCCTCTCACTGCATTTTCATAGTTCTTCAGAAGAGAATCAATCCACTTGCCCATCGAACCCAAGGGGATCGAAGTTGCAGCAGCAAGAGCTGCTGCAACAGGTGGTGCAGCCATGGCGGCTGCCACCACTGAGCAAATCAGCACAGCCGCAAAAGTAGCTACAAAAATTACATTTGACACCTTTCTCCACGCATGAATGCTCTTGATCTTCTTATCAAGTTTAGTCTTTCTGAGTTGCAATTTCTCAAGCATTAGTATCTGCTGCCTATAAACAGATTGAAAATTTTGGAAGAACTCTTCGGTGAAAGGGTCACCAGCAGCCTTGAAATTCTTCAGCTCCTCCAAAGTTCTCACATATCTACTTCCTTCCACCCCATCCTCCTCTTCAAACTGTTGAAGCGCGATGAGAATAATCAACTGGCTGTCACGTGCTCGCTTCAAACATTTCTCCAATGCAGCACAGAAATCCAGAGTCTGCAAACTGTTCTCGAAGTACTCCTCTACAAGCTCGAATAGTTCTTGATTCTTCCATATGTCTTTCTTGCACTCCAGAATCACTTTAACTACCTCCTGGTTCATCTCCAGGAGGCATTCTGTGACTTCTTTTAGAGAATCGAACGACAATGCCCGAACTTCTACCCCGACAGCTAGGGAATTGATGACATGATTGGTTCGAGCTTGGAGGGTTGTGTCGAAGGACTGCAAATCTGTGTCAACTCGGCACGCGGCTTCGTATGAGTTGAGCTCAGTTGTGTATTGTAGATTGTTTATTGCAGCTGAAGTTTCAGCAGTCTTCTTGCTCATGTGAATTCCCATTGTCTGAATTCAGATCTATACAAAGAACAAACCAACCTCAATTTTAAAACCCTTTAAATCGAATTGAAAATTCCTTGTTGAAGGAGAAGATAAAAGATATGGATGATGTGCAGATCCAAACACAGATAATTTACATCACAAATATACACGTCAAACCGAACCCACTTGAACAAAACTCTGAATTTTAAATTATATGCGAATAATTTATGATTTCATGAACTGCATCGGTGCAAGTCAGCAGGAAAAAAAATCATAAAGCTTCTTTAGGCTTTTCAATCTGATTAATATAATATAACACAATACCCAAAATAGAAAGATTCAGATTAGATAACAAGAAATTCGTACTTCATAGATTTCGTGGTGAATCAGTAAGAAAATGAACCAAAGTATCAACTATCAAGCCTTTGATGCTGATTGGAACAAAGAAATCCCAGGAACAGACAAGAAATTTGGTAAGAAAATTTGATGGGTTTAGCTTTATAGAGAGGAGAGTGATGGAAAAGGAAAGTGATGAGACAGATAGAGATTGAGACTTCTGAGGAATGAAGAAGCTTAGAGGGAGAGAAAGAGAGTTAAAACCGTTAAGGACCAAGAAAATGTGGGGTGTTGAGATTGTGAGAATAGCTTGCACGCATCAGTAAATTCAGATTGCAGATGGAAAACGCGGGAAGCGACGTCTTTCTCTCTCCCTATCTATTTCTCCCTCTAGAAACACATATATGTTAGAGAGAGAAAGGTGTAAATCTACAGTTGTAACCCGGAAAGCAAAGCAATAGCAATGGCTAGAGAGGACAAGAACTGTGAAGCTTGTGCTTAAAGACGACGAGAGGGTCTTCAAAGTGAAAGTGGTTTTGTCAATGCAAGCTACTTCGCTACATAAAAGCTGACATAATATTGTGAAATGACTAAACTACCCTTATTTCTTTTAGAATGACAGAGGGTCCTCCGATTCTAGTTAAATGGCCAGGATTTATTTATTTATAGGATAAAAATCATAATTGGTCCATGAACTTTATTTTTAGTTTTAATTTAGTCTCTGAAACTTTAATTATTCTAATTTAATCCCTAGACTATGAATTTTGTCTCAATTAAGTCATTTCGTCTATTTTTATTGGTAGATCAAATGAAGATTAGGTATTTTTTAAAAAAATGGGATTTATTAAGTCAACAAAATATCATGTGAGTATTTTAAATTTTTTTTAGGTAAAATTGTTGAAAAAATGGGACAATGGCATGTTTGTAATTTTAGCAAACACCAGGGGTGTTGCTGAGGGAAAACTCATGTAAAATTGCTGAGAAAGCGGAGCGATTTAAGCTAAAGTCGGTTTCCACTTTCCACAGACAGCTCCGCGTGCTCCGACGCGCTCGCTTTTCCGAGTTTTGGGCTGGTTTTTTTAACCGACTATGATATGCCACGTCATACGTCAGGACACGCGTCATGATGCTAGTGGTTGCCGCCCTGAAGAAATTTCAAAATGATTTCACGCCACGTCAAATGGGAACTTATCGTCACGTGCTTCGAAACGGCCTTCTTGTGTTTTTTGAGAAGCCGGGGGTGCAATTTGGACGAATTGGACAATCAACCCTAATTCAATTTTAGGTACATAATGTTCNTCAAAATGATTTCACGCCACGTCAAATGGGAACTTATCGTCACGTGCTTCGAAACGGTCTTCTTGTGTTTTTTGAGAAGCCGGGGTGCAATTTGGACGAATTGGACAATCAACCCTAATTCAATTCTAGGTACATAATGTTTAATCCTAATCCTACCTCGGATTAGGAAACTCAATCCGAGCACTGCCCGAGTTTAATTTGGACGAGCTTAGGTTGATGATTTCGGGCTAATTTTGGATTATTTTACGGATTCAGTTCGGGTAGAATCTAAAATAGCCTTGTTATTCTAAACCTAATACATATATTACATAATATTCACCTAAATTAACAACTAATAACTCCAACCAAGTTTTTAACAAGAGAGGGTGAGAGAACGAGAGAGGTAGAGAACAAAAATGAAAAATCAGTACTAATATTTTATAATATATATATATATATATATATATATATATTTATTTATTTATATTTATATTTATATTTTTTTTAAATTTGTCGGGTTCGGGTTGAACTGGGGTTCACGAGATCTTAACCCGAACCCAACCCAAGTATTAAAAATCCTTGTCAAAGTCCTAATTTTTTTGGGTTGGGCTCGGGTTAAAATCGGGTTGCCCAACGCAAGTTGCACCCCTAATTCTCATTGTCGGAGTTGCAACAAGTGTAATCCTTATCTAATTTGAATTACCCCACTGTATACCCCTACTATATCGAAAAATTAATTATAATTCGTGCTCGAAGTAAGAAATTAAATTTTGTTTCGAAATTATCAAAACGTTTAAAATATTTTTATTTTCATAAAACTTAAAAAGAAATCATTAATTAAATATTAAATATTTTATGTTTCGATCTACATTTTAACCAATTTAATTTGTTTCTGGAATATTATCGAAAAGTTTTTATTTTCAAGTTCACCGAAACGTAATTTTAATCCTTAATCTGATAATACAAAATAAAATTCAAGCACTTAAAAATTTAATCTAATTATATCAACTTTTAAAAATTCTTTTTTTTTTTTATTTACATTGTTTAAAACTAATTTGAAGCAATTATGTTTTTTAAAAAAATCGACAAAATTGTCTTGAAATATATGACCTTAAAAAATATCAACATATGTATACTACTAGCATACATGAACAATGTCTGAGTTAAATGATTTAATTTGTGATAAAAATTAGGTGATATGATGGAAATGAGCGGAAAAAATGTATGGAGATAAAATTCAAAATGCTAACTATTATAGAGATTAATTTTTTGTATTGTATTTTTATTTTTTTTTATCTAAAAAGTCATGTTACGTGTAAATTTTTGTCTTTTATTTTATATATCACCCTATGATTTTTACAATCAATAATTATAAATCAATTAAATAAAAATTTACGACCCTAAATTAATTTTGGTGTGGCATTCAAATATTACAAGCTAACAATCTATGATGACAAGTGGTTGAGAAGAGTTCAAAAGTTATTTATTTGAGATTTTTAATATGATTCTTGAAGAATAAGTCTCAAATATACATGTGATTGCTTGCATACAAAGTTTGTGTTATAAAGATGTGTTTAAAAAGTATACGCGCGTATAAATTATACTTTAGTCTTTCAATTATAATTTATCTCTTAAATTATTCCTTTAATTATCATCTTAAAAAAGAGCCGAGTTTCAGTAATTTTTTAAACTAATTTAAAAAAACGAGCTCGTAAAACTCGAGTCGATTATCAATCTAACTTTCCTAACTAGAAGATCATGAATATTGTTTATTTAATCCAATCTATTTTGTATTTATCCAAATCATATATCTAGTCATGTGGCTTAATCCCTAGCCACTAATTGTAGTAGTCCAAGTTGGGCATTAGAACTCATTAGGAAGAACTCATTATTGTACCATAATGGGGTTAGGTGGGTTTATGAACCAAGTAAGCTAAAGCCTAATCTCACCACAAACTTTATGTTTGCTTACAAGATTAAATCTCCAATGAAGACACTTTCTCCACCTCACAAGTGTGTGTCATAGGAAGGAGATTAAAATAGGACATTATAAGTTAGTTCTAATCTAATCATATGATATGACCTTCTTTGTGAATGGACAATAAATGTCTAGGGTCTCTATGGGCCGGCGCCTGTGAATTTTTTTTTAGAAAAATTAGAAGCACTTATACTAATTAGACTTAATCGTAAAAAATTACATAGAAAAAAATATTGGGTAATTAAATTCTTAATTTTGATACTTATTTATATCTAAGTACATTATTTAACAAATACATTGTTATTGTTACACTGTTACATTATTTGGATATTACATTAATTNATTAAATCTCCAATGAAGACACTTTCTCCACCTCACAAGTGTGTGTCATAGGAAGGAGATTAAAATAGGACATTATAAGTTAGTTCTAATCTAATCATATGATATGACCTTCTTTGTGAATGGACAATAAATGTCTAGGGTCTCTATGGGCCGGCGCCTGTGAATTTTTTTTTAGAAAAATTAGAAGCACTTATACTAATTAGACTTAATCGTAAAAAATTACATAGAAAAAAATGTTAGGTAATTAAATTCTTAATTTTGATACTTATTTATATCTAAGTACATTATTTAACAAATACACTGTTATTGTTACACTGTTACATTATTTGGATATTACATTAATTTGAAAATAAAATCATTTCTCTAAAAAAAAAAATGCTTGAATCAATGTGCATTAAATATAATTTAAAATTTAAATAAGAGATTTAACAACAAGTGTGTGTTTGTGTGTGTATATATATATACATACATGTATTACTCCTTCTGTTCTTAAATATCTGTCGTTTAAAATTTTTGCACAGGGATTAATGAAACTATTAAATAACTCTAATATGAGTAAAAAATAATTACACAAGACTAAAATACTTATTCAATATGTATTGGGAAAGAAATGAATATGAAAGGTATTTAGCCTCCACCTAATCTAATGCATTGAAAAGTTAAGGGTAAATTTGAAAGAAAAATATTAATTATGTTTTAATTTTATTAAACGACAGATATTATGGAACAAAAAAAATTGTATAAAACGACAGATATTTAGGAACAGAAGGAGTAACAAATACACTTGAATCAATGTGCATTAAATGCGTATTTATATGTATTAACAAACACACATGAAATAAGGTGCATTAAAGATAAGAGATTTTGAATTAAATAACCGTAAAATGAGCATTTATGCCTTTGTAACTTACCTGTGTACTTTTTTTCAAAACATTTTATTCTATGTATTTTTTGTCAAATAAGTCTAATTAGGTATACCGACTTTCAAAGAATCCTTTTTTTTCGGGTTAGGTTTGGATCTAAATAAAATAGGTTCAAATTCCTATTCAAATAAGTTATCATCTGGGTTGAGCTAGACTTCGGGTTAGAGTAGGTTACCCGCAGTCCAACCACCATTAATTGAACGGGTCTATTGGGCAGGATTTGTGGAGGGACCTGCTGGGCGGACCTTTTTTTTTTTTGTCCGGCACATGCTTCTACCTATACAAAATTTCCAACTTGCCCCTAAAATTTCCATCATGCTATTAGTTTACAGACACTTATAGCATCAGCATTAAGTTGTTCTTTAATACGATCAATAGCATTGACAAAAACACGGCATCCTTCTTTAGTCTGGACACCTTTCCTTGCCAGCACTTCTGTTGGTTTCCGTCATTTCCTGCTTCAGCAAATTGGTCTCCTGAAATTGCCCCAACATCGCCAACAGTCATTTCCATGCAATACTTAGCCCCCTTCTCAAAGTCCACAATTCAGTAGCTAAGCTCATAGTTATCCCAATTTTTTTCTCATAAAAGCCCACCACAAGCCTTCTTGTGTTATTACAGAGAATTCCACCTGTCCCAGTAGGTCTGCGTCATCTGTGTTCAATTTTACCCAACCAGTTGGCGGGGGCTTCTAGCCAAGGAATGCTTCAGAACTTAAGGGTCTGGTGTTATGATTGTGAATGTGACAATATTCAACGGCTCTGTCTAAAGCTTGTTGAGTAACTTTCCCTGTAGGTGCTGTTTTATTGCAAAACACCCACCCACCCACCAGCGGTCTCGATGGTACCATATACAGGCACCAGGTGTAAAGGAAAAGTGTTGTCCATGGAATATTGTGTCCTCTATTTCTTGTGAGTGGGTAAAGTTGTTAGACATCTCATTAACTTTCATCCATGTTTCCAGTGGCCCATTGAAGGTGTGGAGGAGAGTGGCTGGGAACTCCAGTTCAGTCCAAATCACTTTGGCAATGTCACATTCCATCAAAACATATCTGGTATCCTCTATTTCTTGTTGGCAAATTCGGCATGATGAGTGTACGTTTTAAAAAAAACAAAAGTGGTGCCCCACCACCTTGTAGTAATTAATAAACATGCCAACTAACTTGACGGGTGGATTGGCCCAGGTTTTGTGAGTGAGTTTTTTGGGTCGGCTAAGGAGTAAATTCAAACCCTTTCTTATAAGATGTTAGGTTCAGACTTCGGACTTATTTTTGGGCCGGATAACGGTTTAGTGGGCTAATCTCAAGGCCGGTTCAACAGTATGGACTTTAGTCTCCAAATTTTAGAAGGCCTCATAATTTTCGTTATATCGCTAGCTCACAAAAAAATTAAATTTATTAAATTTTAAACCCTACAAAAAAACCTTAAAAAATTAAATTCAATCAAAATTTTTATGTCAATAATTTGAGTCTGTAATCTAATCCATAACATTAAAAAGTTAGAAATTAAAAAAAATACTCAAAAGTCAACTCATATTTACTCTCACTCATTCTCTCTCTCTCTCTCTCTCTCTCCGGTAAAAAAATAAAAAACAAAAATAAAAGTTGAAATTAAACACTCTCTCTCCTTCTCTGTGATAAAAAACAAAAACAAAAACAAAAACAAAAATTGAAATCTCTTTCTCGACAATATTAACACATCTTTCTTTTGTCTCCCTCTCACATAGAAAATTAAAAATAAATTAATTTTTTTTTAAAAAATACTAAAAATTAAAAAACCTTCATTTAACGTTTTCCCTATAAGTCTCAAATTAACTTAAGTTGCCCCTGGCCAACCTAACCCATAAACACCCCTATATTATTGGTTGTTTGTAAGTAGGGATGTTCAAATTTTCAATTAATCGCAATTTTTTACCCTACTCGACCTTACCTTATTGATCGGCTAGCCAAAAAAATCGAGTAAGAATGCGAAAGAATTTTTGATTTTTTGATTAAATTGGATAAGAAAACAGAATACCCATCAAATTTTTACATTCCAACCCTACCCTACTCGCATAATTAAAAACCTAATTCCCTAACGCCTTGTCGCCTCCTTAAGACCTCATTTGTCTCACCTCCAGCCTCCTCATCTCACCTCTCTCGCTATCCCGCTTCTCTCACCTCTCTCGCCATCCGTTTCTCTAACCTCTCTCACCCTTTCTTTGAATACCCTTACCTGTTCAGTAACTTGCCCTTTCTCGCCTCTCTATTCTAGGGGTGTTCACCCTACTCGATATTTTGCGAAATAATTTTTTCATGGTCTACTCTAACCGATCAAGTGTAGTTTTTGGAATAGGTTACATGATTTGTGGTGATCTATTTAAGTAGTTATGATTTTTGATGTGTTTCATATGGTTTAAACGTAAAATAGTTGTTATTGTATTTGTACAACAATTTTGATGGATTGATGTTTATACTTTGGGTTTTCTTGTGTTTTATTGTAATTGTTGTAGGTTTTAGTGTTATTAGATTATTGTGTTGTTAAATTGGTATAAATTATTTAATTGAATTGTTAAAATGATCCAAAAATTAATAACTACAAAACGTGTTCACCCGATTTCCTACCAGATTAATTTTGACGAAAATCAGGTAGGAATACTACACTTGATTGGGTAGGGTAGGATGAACACCCCTATTTGTAAGAGTGTCAAATATGACACGACTGGTTAATTCGATACGAAATTAGAGGGTTTAAATATTTTTTAAATCATTCATTTAATAAACGAGTGGACCTGATACGACACGATAAATAAATGAATCGGATAAGGGTAAAGTCAATAAAAAAAATACACGATACAACTTATTTATATACTAGTTAGTAGTTACATATGGTTCATATATAACACTAATCTAATGTAAGACGAATTAATAAACGAATCGAGTATAAGTAAACTATTTTTTTTCACAAATTCGCGTCCCTTGACATGATTCACAAGCCTAGTTGTTTTTGGTCCTCAATTAATGTACGATTATAGTTTTCGATTTCAATGCTAGTAGTGACTTCCGTTATTGGCACTTTTCGCCGTGGAATCGAGTGTACCCTTCCTTCTCCTTAAAAAATTAATTGTCTCGGCGTTCCTTTTCAATTAGGGCAAGTTGCAACACTCTTAAGACATTAGAGGGATAGTGTGTAATTCTATTACTTCAAAGGTGAAAAATAAATATTTTAAGATATTTCTGGGGGTTCAAGTGACAATTCCCCCAAATAACCCAAAAAAAAGAGGGTTAATTGCAACTTCCCCCTTTGAATTTGGATCAAGTTACAATCAACTCCCTATGATTTGAATTTCAACAAATTATCTCATCAAAGTTTGTACATTCTTCAAATTAACTCAAATTATTAGTTTCGACAATAAAAAATAATAGAAATTAAGTCACATGATTCCAGATTTATTGAAAAGAGAAAATTACACTAAATTCGAAATTTTTTTAAAAAAAAACCAAAATTTTCTTCCCGAGACAAAATGATGTGAAGAGTGATCTTATCTCTTCGTAAAATTTGAGATCATGGGATTTCTCAATGAATATTTTTTGTCATTTTTTACTGNATTTGTACATTCTTCAAATTAACTCAAATTATTAGTTTCGACAATAAAAAATAATAGAAATTAAGTCACATGATTCCAGATTTATTGAAAAGAGAAAATTACACTAAATTCGAAATTTTTTTTTAAAAAAACCAAAATTTTCTTCCCGAGACAAAATGATGTGAAAAGTGATCTTATCTCTTCGTAAGATTTGAGATCATGGGATTTCTCAATGAATATTTTTTGTCATTTTTTACTGTAAAAATTATCAGCTTGATTTAATTTACATATTCAAACTTTCAGGGAGTAAATTGTTAAAACTAAAACTAAAGGAAGTTGATTGAATATGACCTAAACTTGAAGGGAGCATTCTATAAATAACCCAAAAAAAACATTGAAACTGATGCAGATTAGGGTTTTGTCTAAAAGGCGCAAAGCAACTATAAATAGTAGCAACCAACCAACAATGTTTGAAGAGCTATCTAGGGTTTACCAAGGTTTCGTTTGCTATTTTGTGCAGTGTTCTGCTCAACTATACTCAGAGTCTCGAATCGAATCTTTCAAAGGTTCGAATTCTAATCTCTAATTTTTCTAGGGTTTTGTTTTTGTTTTTCATTCTGGAAATAAATGGTGCCTTCATAATCCCAGATAATGTAATTTTGAAATGCTTATCTGATTCATGGGAGGCCGAAAGAGAAGCTATGGAAGTTTCGCTGATGACGCCATTTTTTCTTCTTCTAGACTTACAAGAAAGGCGTTTACTAGTAACTTTCCCATACATCTAAACAAGTATAATATCTTTCACAGTGGTATTATTTCGACATAATTTATTGATCTGCTTCCTCCGTTTCTGAATATCTGTCGTTTAAGTTTTTTGCACGAAACTATTAAATAGTTCTAATATGAGTAAAAAATAATTACACAAGATTAAAATACCCTTATTCAATAAGTATTGGGAAAGAAAGGAATATAAAATACACTTAGTCTCTACCTAATCTAATACATTGCAAAGTTAAAGGTAAATTTATAAGAAAAAATATTAATTATGTTTTAGTTTCATTAAACAACAGATATTATGAAACAAAAAAAATTGTGTAAAACGATAGATATTTAAGAACGGAAGGAATAATTTATTTTAATCATTGAATTAGCAGCGGATCCTAACTAATAAGTAATAAGACTCAGTTGTGTTTTATGTCATCAGATTAGATCAGTATTTTACTACTGAGAATCCTCTTCCTCTTACAATAATCTTTTTTTAAGAAAAAAAAAATTGATAAATTTTCTTTTTCTTTCATGTTTGTAATATCTAGGTTTTTTTTTTTTCTGGGTCATAGGTTAGGGTTTAGTCTCTGTTTGTTTACCAACTGGATTTACTACTACAAATCAAGCTGGAATGGAGCAATCTTCAACAATGAAGGCAATGGGAGAGGGCGACCAAATGACAATCATCAAAATTTATTGCGACTTATGAACAGATGATAAGACTTTAATTGAATTTCAATTTGAAAANACAAATCAAGCTGGAATGGAGCAATCTTCAACAATGAAGGCAATGGGAGAGGGCGACTAAATGACAATCATCAAAATTTATTGCGACTTATGAACAGATGATAAGACTTTAATTGAATTTCAATTTGAAAATTTTGATTCAAATTTAATTTTAAAACTCTTCTCAATTTGATTGGATAATGTAAAAGATTTCACTTTTACAACTCAATTATCCTAGAATTTTAACAATTTCAAGTAAGTTTTATTGGATATTCATTAGATTTGATCATATTTTGCTTGAATTACATTACAAAGTTATCTGGAATTATCTGGTAATTCAGAAGTCTCAGATTTAACACTTCTCATACCCTCTAGGGTCAATGTTCTAAATCATCCACTTGAGTTACGATGACTAGTAACCAAAATCGAGAGAATAATCGGCAAAAACTTAATCCCCTTATAATAAAATAAAATANTTTAACACTTCTCATACCCTCTAGGGTCAATGTTCTAAATCATCCACTTGAGTTACGGTGACTAGTATCCAAAATCGAGAGAATAATCGGCAAAAACTTAATCCCCTTATAATAAAATAAAATTAAAAAAAAAAAACACAGATTTTGATACATTCAAATTTGAATTTGTTAAATGTGATATAAAATAATTGGACTCACATAATCAATTAAAAATAGCATGATTAATTAAATTGGGACAGTGACTGGGTGTATCATTACAGAAGAAAGAGAGAAAAGTAGAAGAGAGTATTGAATCTTAGGAAGAAAGTTTTCAGTTGAAATTGTTAAGTTGCAGTTTGGGTAGGTAGGTGCTCCATGTGCAAGGATCCTCTCTGGTGGATCAAATATGATGTTTTTCAAAATAACGCCGTTTCACATACAAAACATCTCCACCAACAACAGAAGAGCGATTGTGAGCCAAATAGGCGAATATCAAGGAGAGTATGGCACTCAAAAGGGCTGGAACAGTTATAAACGAATCTCAAACCCAAGAGGAAGCAATTTCCTTAATTTATTCATAAAACTTGTAATTACCAGAGCCTAACTTCTTCATTTTCTTTTTTGGGCTACAAACAGAGCATAATGAGTTTACAGACACCATGTACCGTAATTTATTATCTTCAACACATTCATGACCTGGTGGTTGCATAACCCGGCAGTCCCAAAATCTTGTTAAACCTCCTAGTGTTGCTAACTCAGAACTCCAGAAAGCAAAACTGGGCATTTGATCCCCCTTTTGCTGCCGTCTCCTCCTCCATCACATGGTTTTGCAGCTACTTGTTGTATAAGTATACAACAGTGAAGATAAAGAAACCTGCTATCTGCATCATGGGCAAATAATACCACAATCAGGGACCTCGATGTTTAAAATGCTGCTACAATGAGCTTGAGTCAGAGAGATTTGAATTCAAAATACTGAATAGTAGCAGCATCAGCTTCTCCCATTTATGTCCCAAACAAAAATGCAACCCCGTTAACACCATATATTAGATATGAAAAAAGGGAAAACATCATTCATGCCCTGAATCATACTAGGCAGCAATTTAGTGCATTGATATTGGCTAGCACTACCACTAAAGTCAGAAATGTCATTGCCCAAAAGGACTAGGCTCCTACAACTGCCAACCAAAAATCTTAGCTTACCACTGCCATGGCACGTGCTAGAGACAAATCCACATAGGCATTAACAAGGTTACCGTAATGTGAGAAGGCATATGGAACAAATAGGTGTGCAACATAATGACATGAAAATTCAAACCTCATAGGTGGCAAGAGAGAGAGAAAGAGAGGTACCATAGAAAAGGATGATCCATAGTATGGAAATGCAGCTGTTATGAATCTTTCATATTCATTGTGTCTGAAGGGTCGAACTGGAATCTGCAAATCATAAGTTCCCAGAAACAAGCCATTAACATTATATTAATCTTAAATAAGTTCTTTTGATGCCTCGGTCCAAACAAGAGACGCTCAAGTTGTTACTTGATAGCCAACTCTACACTACTTGTGCTTAATCCACTCGTCATTATGAATAACAAAAGGCACAGTTGATTCATTCACCCTTCTTTAGCTTTACTACTTAACACAGTAGCTGGGGCAAGCCACACCAAAGAAAGAACAGAAAAGAAAAAATGCACATATATTTGTGTCATTAAGACAAAAGCATAACTAAGATACTCATGATCAACTACTTGTGGGTGCCTGAGGCAAAGATCAAAAACATAATCGTATTACTTTCACTCGTGTATAGAAAAGCCTGATATGGAATTATCCTATCATTCATAGAACGACAAAACTAAAATAGATTTTTACATCATAATTTTTCATTTTTTCTCTTTCCTTCAAAAACATGGAATTTATCACAAAATAAATCCCCAAGTCACTAATGAACCCAAGGTGGCCAAAAAAAAAAGGTCATTCAATTATAGATAGTAGGCCACTATGGATCTCAGAAGGTTGCATCTTATATCTTCATATGACCCTTGAGTAGAAAATCTATGAAAACTAGATGTATCTATGATCTTTTTCAAAAATCATTAGCAATTACAGTTCTATTGTGGATGATATTCCCAAATATCAAGACCATGTCCTGATTGATTGGCTCCAAAAAAAATTTTGACACCTGTTTTCAGAAATCCACAACATTTAATTGTACTTCTAATCAAGAACTAAGTTTGAAAAAAGAAAAAAAGAACTACAATGAGAAAGAGTAGTCACCTAGACTTTTGCAGTCAATGAACACAACACACACACACACACACAGAGAACATTCACCTGCTTTGATAGGCTCAAGCTTGTGTATCCAAGCCTCTGGTACTCAACCTTGAACTGGAATACACCATAAACATCCGGAACCTTGAAAGCTGTATAGTAGAGACCCTGTAGAAAGAGTATTTTTAGGTTTTTTCATTGAAAGAGGTCAATGAAAGCACAAGTAAATTTCAGGTTCCAAGTGAAATACCTTCTGGTCAGTTGACAAAGTTTTCAAAACATAGGGGCTCATCATGTAAAACTGCACTTGAACATCATTCGCCACATATGGTTCCCAACTTGTTCCAGACCACTCAAAAATCTCAACAGAATATTCCTTCAAACAACAAAAAAGTAAATAAAGTTTCAGAAGTAGCGAAAACCTTTTTCTCTTCATCTACTCAGATTATGGATAAGCATTAGACAAAATAGGCAGAGAATCAGAGAATTACCAGGTCATCATTAATCCTGTACATGGAAGGTTCACCTGCTTCCCCCTCTTTGTGATGTCTTACATTCACAGCCTAGCTATCAAAAAAACATGTGTCAATATGAAGCTCTAGCAAATATACTGAAAAGTTCCAAAGTGAAAGCTGCATTGTACAATACTATTTTACTAATTTCTCAACACCACAAAATATTAAGAAATCTACCAGTTTGTTTAATGGACCAGTCTCTATGCACCTGGATCTTTATGGAGGCTGGAATGGCAAACTATAGACATGAAAAGGTGGCAAAACAAAGCTGGTAGTTAGAATGGCCCACCTTAAGGTGACCTCTTTCATGGAAAATCCATTTGCTAAGTTCAGTCAAAAACTGCTCATTCCCAGATTTTTCGTATCTGTTATCACAAGATAAATTTTTCATTAGTTCATTTTGAAAGGGAGATGCCTTTGTTTGTATTCAGGGAATGTGTCACTTCCCACTTCCAGAACATAATTTGGTTGCTGCTAGATAGCAATTCAGGTTAGAAGGAACAGATGTGTAAATATAATATAAGACGAGGGACTAACAACAAAAACAATATAAGCAGCCTATATATGTTTTCCATCACAGCTTGTAAATTCAATGACAAGATCCAACAGCATCTCCACACTTAAAGATGCCTATACCCATAAGTTAAATATACACTTACTTAGTGGAGCTTCCAGCATTTTGCACTCCAGACCTCAGGAATCTGATATAGAGCCAAATTTGTCAGCAGATATGAATGCAAATTAAGGAACTGTTTATAAAACAAAATAATCCTGCTTACCTGTCATTGAATATGCTTAATGAACCTGATATCAGAATTCGAGCATTATTTCTTGCCTATAACAGAGAAAGAACTGTCATCAACAACCATAAGTGATGCTTGTAGCAATTCAAGTCTTACTCATCCACTAAATGATAAATGAATGCTTTATTGACACATCTTCAAAAAATGCTGGTCTTTATTTCTAGAATACTGTCTCACCAAGGCATCACTATACTCACGTCATTTTCTTCATGAACTTTCTTGACGAATACAACCTCTTTCTCCTAAATAAATGTCCTTTGGGCGAGAATTTATTGATTTAGTCGTTGGCAAAGTGTCTTAATCTTTTTGGTTCCACTACCTAGTCTTACTAGCACAGATTTTATTGATTCACTTTCCCATTCACAACCCTTATCGGTCCCCGGCAAAGGAAAGAAAGAAAAAAAAAAATATGTAATGAACCTGTCTACATGTACCAATGGCAAGCAGTGAGCATCAAGATGCACAGTTACCCATCCTTGACTTCAATTGGGTTCCTCTATGAATCATATTAAGGTAATCACAAATTTGTTTGTTCCTGTACCCAATAATTAATAGCTACATGTATCCTTCCCATCAAAATTGATGCTATTCTCGGCACTAGTTCCTCCAACATTGAAGAGTTAACAATGGCTAAAAGGAATATGATCATTACTCATCTACCATTCCTTTGTGGATTTTCTCTTCTAATCCCATGGGATGACAACTATATCATCGAATCATATAAAGTCTCTCACAAAGTGAACTCTCTCTTTTTTTTGTTCTTTGTGTGTGTGTGAGGGTGGTGGGAAGGGGGGGGGGGGGNGGGGGGGGGGGGGGGGGGGGGGGGGGGGGGGGGGGGGGGGGGGGGGGGGGGGGGGGGGGGGGGGGGGGGGGGGGGGGGGGGGGGGGGGGGGGGGGGGGGGGGGGGGGGGGGGGGGGGGGGGGGGGGGGGGGGGGGGGGGGGGGGGGGGGGGGGGGGGGGGGGGGGGGGGGGGGGGGGGGGGGGGGGGGGGGGGGGGGGGGGGGGGGGGGGGGGGGGGGGGGGGGGGGGGGGGGGGGGGGGGGGGGGGGGGGGGGGGGGGGGGGGGGGGGGGGGGGGGGGGGGGGGGGGGGGGGGGGGGGGGGGGGGGGGGGGGGGGGGGGGGGGGGGGGGGGGGGGGGGGGGGGGGGGGGGGGGGGGGGGGGGGGGGGGGGGGGGGGGGGGGGGGGGGGGGGGGGGGGGGGGGGGGGGGGGGGGGGGGGGGGGGGGGGGGGGGGGGGGGGGGGGGGGGGGGGGGGGGGGGGGGGGGGGGGGGGGGGGGGGGGGGGGGGGGGGGGGGGGGGGGGGGGGGGGGGGGGGGGGGGGGGGGGGGGGGGGGGGGGGGGGGGGGGGGGGGGGGGGGGGGGGGGGGGGGGGGGGGGGGGGGGGGGGGGGGGGGGGGGGGGGGGGGGGGGGGGGGGGGGGGGGGGGGTTTTTTTTTTTGGGGGGGGGGGGGGGGGGGGGGGGGGGGGGGGGGGGGGGGAGATGGAGGAAGAAAGAAAAAGGAACAACTACTCCATGTAATGTTTGCTTGAGGTAATACACTAGCTCTGTCGACTCAACAGGGGCAATACGAAGCACTGTTTAAGGGTGCCAATCAGAAACTTCTAACATAGCAGTGCCACTGTAAGTGATAGTAGTGTAAGGTACATTGCTAGAGTGAAAAGTTTTGTGGGCAACATTGGAGAATTGACCTATTTCTAAATAAGTTACCAAAAATGAGTATTCAACCTTTATCATGAAAAGTATGTTCAAGTTACTGCAGCAAAGTGAGAGGAAAACAAACAAAAAGTTCTGAGGACCAAAATCAACCTACCTGCACAACTGAAACTAAGGATATTGCAGATCCACTTAGAGATGGAGGATTTGATAACTTGGCCTTTGGATTGCCAGAATAGGCAGAAGGAGATGCTGAGAGAACTTTCAATACCTGTATCAACAGTGCATATGTAAACAGTAAACACAATAGGTGGGTACTAAGTAACTTAATAGAAAAACTGAAAAATTAAATGACATGTTAAGCAGTGGAATGACATGTGCCTGCAGGTCATGTTATAGTTTGCAATAAATCACACGGAGGAAACTTACCAAACTATTGCTGGGATTCAATGAATGACCAATACCCTGAAAAAGTACGGGGGCCTGTGGCAGGATGAACAGAAAGCCAGTCAAAAATGATGAAATGCATGTTATTATATTGTTGAGGGGTCTAGTACCAGGGCTAGGCAGTAGGTAAGGGTGGGTAAGCCTCCCATTATCTTAGAACCTTCCAAATCGATTAAAGCGGGGATAATAACACCTAAGTAGCATGTACTGGATGCAAAAGTTCACATAACATGCACAGAAGAGAGCAAAATTCAAGATTACAAGTCATAGAAAATTGAACCATCTAAAGTTGGCAGGCTAGCTACAAACACTAATTAGTGTTTGTAGATGATCTTTCATGTAATAATAAGTTCTTCTCAAAATCAGAGTAACCGAAACTGCGCAATTGTCTGTAGGAACAATTACTGGTAGATGGGGAATACAACGGTAATGGGCCAAACAATGGAACTTGCCTCAATCTTTGTGCTCCCCAGAATCACATCCGACTGGACAAAAGCATCACTGGCAATCAGTGTATGATCCCCTTCTGTGTCTGAAATTGCAAAGCTGGTGTGATCAATCACCAGAGCAGATGGATCCTATTTTCCATACATAGATGCACCCAGTAAGACAATAACTAAATCTTCTAGTAAGTATACAGAAAATAATAGGTTACCAATGTTTTCTTTTCCCTGGAGTTAGCAGGTAAGGTTTTATTATGTTAATGTACAAGAAAACTCACTCCAAGCAGCAGATATAAGCGCAAAATATAAACATGTTATCTGTATGGCTACCTCATCGAAATCAACTCCACACTCAATGGCAATCTCACGAATTAAATCAGAAGCACCCATATCTGCTGTGATGATCAAATCATGACCCGAATCAACAAAGTCCAGGATAGCTGATGAGTCAATAGAACCACCAAACCCTACAACAATCGCCACAAAATTGTCAACTAAGGCCAAGATTGATCTAATCTTCAATGATACAAATATCATCTCAAAAAAAAATACCCACCCAAAAACATCAACTTCTCGAAAACTCAATCAACACTCTACCCAATGTTATCTCACCCATCATTTGAATTTTAAATTGCATAATTAAATAAAGTAAATTATTATTTAAAATATGATATTATAAGATGAGTTCGATTTTTGATATTGCTAGTACACCCATATGCATCCATATATTCATTTATTTCAGAATTGTTCGTATATTTTTGTAGAACTTACGCTCGATTGTGGGACAGAAGAGGATCAGAGCGTCGTATACGTATTGGCCGTATCTCTGTAAGGCGATATCAGGATCGTCGGCGAGCTTGACGTCTAGTTCGAAGCCACGATCTCTGAGAGATTTGAAGAAGATAGAGTGTGAAGATTTGATGGCGGTGTCTTGGATCAATACCAGGACTCGACGATCAGTAGGGTGTTCGGGAGAGAATGAACTGCAGAGAATTGCTAGAAATGGGATTACAGAGAAGAAAATCAAAGATCTTCCAGACATTGTACTAGTCTTTGTTCTTCTTCTAGGGTTTATGGGGGTTTCAGTTTCAGAGATCACTCTGCGAGGTGGGAGGGGTTCCGATTCTGCTCGACTCAATTGGAATTATGGTTTTTGGACAAAGCACGCACATATACACACATACTAGTCGACACACCAAAAAATATATATATATATTTGGTATTTTATTTTTTCAAACAAATCAACACTTTGTTTCTTTTCTTAAAAATTGATTACAATGAGAGAAAAACAAACAATATTTACCTTAATATGTTTCGACCGGTGGATTATTCTAATAAAATTATACATTTTTCACGTATACTTAAAAACATAAAAAAATTATATATGATTTAGACCCTTTGTTTAATTTTTTAGTTTTATTTCAATAAATAGTATAATTATATACTAATTACAATTTTTTAAGAAAAAAATTAAATTTTTATTTTTATTTTCATTTCAATAAATAATACAATAGAATATAAATTTTGATTGTAAAATAATATTTGATATTCTATTTTTGATTAGAGTATTTTTGGTCTAAGTATAATATATTAAATTTAAAGGGTCTAAGTATTACGCGCGTATAAATTTGAGGAAATTTGTATTTAATATTTTAAATATTAGAGGTTTGAATAATTAAATGACAAATTTTAGGAGATTTAAGTGTAATTCTCCCAAATCCCTCAAACCTAGAAGAATCATCCGTCTGTCATTGATGGTCTGCACCTCAACTTTGCAGAGCTTCAACTTTGCCTCTCTGCTTCAACAAAGCACTCGGTCGAAGCTTAGTTTTATACACACACACACACACACACACACACACACACATATATATTGTTTGTGTATCTACAAAAAATTTGAAAGATGGATATTGAACAAAAGTAAGAAAATTCTTTGATCGAGGACTTCATCAAGCAAGTTTCGATACACAAAGACTCTTCACTTTTCGTCTTCTTCTTCGCCTCTGTGCAACAGCCCTTGGACAAGCTCTCACAGTGATGCTTAGACGAGAGTGACAGGAGAAAGAGAGGGGCAAATAGATCTAAATCTCCATCGACCATAAAATTGAAGCAGATCTGGATCTCTACAGTGAGCTAGATCTGTTTTCATCTTGGTAGAGAGAGAGAGAAAAAGACAAAGATACCAGAGATCAACAGTATTTTTGTCGCCTGCACAACCTTGAAACAAAGAAAGAAATAGAGGGATAGACAAGTAATTACTCATCTTGTCTAGTCAGTTAGGATTTAAACCCAGGAGGGAGGTGGGTTAACTTTAACCCATGTAGGAGGGGTAACTTGTACTGTAGCAACTGGGTCAATGTTTGACCCGGGATTAATATTCGGTCTCAAAAAATACTTCCCAAACAAAGGATTTATGAGACCCATAGTCTTAATAACCTATCCTTATAATGTTAACCCACTATCCAAGCACACCCTTGGTGTGGTGTGCACGTTTTGTCCAAAAGTTATGGTATGGGGAGAATTATATATCCTAATAGATTTAAGAATCCCTATTTTATACCCCCCATATTATTAATTTCTCGTATTGCACCTTTATTGTATTATAAGTGTTATAATTTAACAAATTTTTTAGCTTTTGTTGCTCTTTCCGTTAATATCAAAAGGGTGATTTTTGATAAAATAAAAGTAATATTATAATATTTTTAATACATTGAGGGTAATAAGAAATTTAATTTTTATATATTGAAAAATATTTAAAATTTTAATTTGTATCCTAAAAAATTAAATTACACCAATAGATCAACCTTTTAAACTATTGTTGAATCCATGGGCACGCAAGAGACAACTTGACGAATTAAAACATCTTAGTTGCCGGAGGAAAAAAAAAAATTCCTAAAGTAGCAGCAAACGAAATGAGAACAACTTAAACCATGAAAATGGGGTTTGTGAGAGAATAATATAAGCATCATGCTATTAGGCTAGGTGGTGGAGTGCTGCACTCTAAATGGTGAAAATTCAGTAGCTGAAAGTATCACTAACTTACACTCTGACCCAAGTATCATGGGTCACGTTTCAATATCGTAAAATACTACAATGTGACCCAAATTTGACTAGCATTCATTTTCTGTGACAATAAGTGGCATAAACATGACAATAAACAACATCAATAGAAAAGTGAATGATACATTGGACAATAAGTAGCGCAAACAGGACAACAAACAGAATTGGTGCCATAAGGCAAGGGGGTCTTTTCCCACATGGAAAGTTTTTGCTACAACACTTGAAAAACATAAAGAAGTTCGACCTCGAGCATGAATTACCTATTCATTGGTATGCGATAATTGGAGAGTTTTTCTTATGCATAATCCCTAATAGAGCATTTATTGTGACCAAGTAATTTTGGAGCGTCGGAAAATCTAAATTAGATGTGATCGAATCTTGTATAGGAGAGAGGTACGGTTGTTTTATAGTGACCTTATTGGTCATTGCATTCAAATAATAAAAATAGTTTCTTTGCCTGTCATACCAGCTGCAAATCTAGAGTAGATAAAGTTGGGTGTTGAAGAAAGAAGGTATCACTCAATCCTGTAAAACCACCTTATGAAGAAGGTAGTATGCATAAACCATTAACCAAAGACATACCAACTGCAAACCAAATTAACTCTTAAGAGCCGTTCAGTAGTCAAGTCTGTCATCTAATAAACTAGAGATCTCAGGTTCAATATTTTTCATACTCCCTAAGACCCACCCACCCTTATTTTTCAAGAGACATATTCTAAACCCAGTCAAACAACTATGACCAATATCCAAGCTCGAGAGAGTAACCGGCACAAGTCTGAATAACCAATTGCAAAAAAACTGCAAACCTTATCCACCCTGCTGCTTCTAATTTGTGATATACCTAACTCATTCTAATTACCCCTTTGATAGCTACCTCATAATGATTGCAATTTAAAGAAGCATCCATCAAGTGTACATATTCACTTTTGCATACAACCCAACAATGAATAAGTTATACAAAAACGCAAACAATAACTTTATTGTTACTAATACAATCAAAACTTGCAATTCAAAATCATATACAAATTCTCAACAAACAATGACAAGAGGACCTATAGAACTCCAAGAACAAAAATAACACTAAGATAGATCTCCAGTTTTATGAATTCTATGCACACAAAATGTGACTACAAACAAAGAAGGATACATCTTCGACGAAAAAAGGAAATGTGTAAGGGGATACAATTGCTGATTTAAGAGGGATGGTCAACGTTGTTATCTGGTGCAAATGAATTAAGGCTGAGCAAATCTCTTGACTATCATAGCCATGTACTTGCCCTGATGTTCAGCAAGGGCCAGCTCTGTTTCAGTTGGCTCCCTTGTGCCATCGCCCGAGAAAACTCCAGCACCATAAGGAGAACCACCTCTAATCGAGTCCATTTTAAACATTCCAGCACCAAAGGTGTATCCAATTGGAACATAAAGCATACCATGGTGCGCTAACTGGGTAATTGCTGTCCAACTGCACCAATAAATAATGAGAATTATTGGGATGACGATTAGTCAGTCATTATTACAACATCATCAACTAATATCCTCTCCAAACCCCCCCCCCCCTCCAAAAAAAAAAAAAGGTCAAAATCAATAAACAACCGCCAATGGCAAAAACATGAATAATTCCAAAATTAGTTATCTTTCATCTTGTTCTATTTCAAATTTGCTTAACAAAAAATATGGGACATCTGGAGCGAATTGAAGTCCCAGTATTTGGTGGTGTTCCATACCATTCACTTCCTTATTGAAAACCTGACCTTCAAGGCCATATCCTTACAAGTTACAAGTACTGGTGGACAGATTAAAGAAAATTTTTGTGAAAGCTATTAAAATTAAATTCTTTGGTTACCCCTTGGTAAAAGTATTGGATGGGGTAGATTAAATATAGATCTAACTGGTACCATTTGAGATAAGGTTTTATGAAAAATGAAATTGCTGTTGCGCTGGTGGATGGGTAGTTCAACCCTAACCATCCAGGCACCAGGTGGGATGATGGCTTGTCTTGGAACATCAGAAGGAGGCACCAAGGAAGTTCTGGTTTGGTGGATCCAAGATGGAGGTGGTAGCTACTTTTGATGCTGCAAAATCCTCATGCCTCGAGAGCCATAGATCCTATTTGTGTCCATGGTGCAGCAAGTATTCCACATCTCCACACTCCCCTAGGCAGCACGAGTTAGCTAGTTACATCCAAGGAGATAGGGACATGAACAGTACAGACCATATGCCACTCAAGGTAAACAAATATAAAGGACACTTGCACTACCTTGTTTTGCCATCCCACATATTTAGGTCCTACATGTGACCCAGTCTCCAAATACCACCATTTGCATAATATTCCAATTTTTTTTTTCTAATGGTCTTCATTTGCTCATCATATGCAAGGAAATTTCATGGTCCAATTTCTCACTCTCTGGAAACTTATTTTTCTCTCCCTAGATATGCTCTCTTCATTTTCTCACCTCTCCTCCGAACAATCACCCCAACTGGGTTTCCCCAGAAAGATGTGTACAGACCCTAACTCTTTGGATCTAATTTATCTACTACCCTTCAAAAGAGCTTCCTCGCATCAAATGGAAGCTCAAGTGTATCTATGGGGATTGTATAGAAATAAGATCCAGAACTTTCTACAGTCATAAGATCATGATTTAGCATTTTTGAAATAATTGAGAATGAATACTTGATCATCTAATCAAAAAAGTTCCCAATCCGTAAATTTCACATGGTTCTTAAGTAACTGATTGCAACTTCAAAATGACAACGCAACTGGTGATTTGACACATTTGTATTCCGGAAAATAATAATATTATACAGGACACAAGAATGAAGAATAGTGGCGAGACTGTAAAGTTCTTTACCACCAATATCATACTCTTTTCTAAGCAGTCAAACATTTTGATACTAAAATAATGGATTCCAATTATGCTACTTTTTTCCATCATCTTGTCACTTGTCAGATGTAATCAAGATTATACACAAGAATTTCCTTTTCATATAACAAATCAAATTCAAAAATTTATACTAATGACATGATATTGATAATGCTAACTTATTCAACACCAAATGAAGTGAAAGCACATAACACACTTACGCAGTGGTTTCTTGCCCTCCTCCTTGTGTACCAGTGCTCACAAAGAACCCTGCAGGCACACCAGCAAGCTTCTGCTCCCTCCACAACTGCCCTGCTGAATCGAAAAACGCCTTCATTTGCGCCGCCATACATCCATACCTAGTCGGAAAACCAAACAACAACCCGTCAGCCTCCACCAACTCCTCCACAGATGTCACTGGAATCTCATCACCCTTAGGTGGCACCTTCATTTGCTCCAAAACCTCTGGTGACAACGTCTCTGGAATCCGAAACAAAACCCCCTCAACCCCATCAATCCCATCAACCCCTTTTTTCATCCTCTTTGCCAAACCTTCCACATGACCATACATTGAATAAAACACAATAAAAATCCTCAATTTTTTGGTGACTGCTTGTAAAACCCCATCTTGAATTGGGGCTGTGGAATCAGTACTAAGAGGACCCTCTACTGAGATTGACCTATCACTTATAGGGTTTGGTGGATCAAGATCAGTTTCATCCAGAGGTGATCTTTTCTTGCTTGGCACACACCCTCCTCCTTTACCCATAAAACAGAACTCTTTCAAGGATTAAAAAGGCCACCCTTTATTCTAATCTGCTTCCAAAAGTCACTCAAGTGACCAAAGATTCTTCAACTTTCCACCAAATTGAACTTGACTACTCGAGGAATATTGATTCAAACTGATAATTCTATCAAAAGAAGAGATGGATATGGCTTTTGAAGATACAATATCAATCTTTCTCTGGAAGAGATTGACCCTTATTTCTGAGTTGTTTTAGGACTTTGCAACACTCTGGGACTTGTGGAATTCGAATCTTCCCACTGAAAGCTTCGCTGGCTGATGTTGCTAAGATGAAAGTGAAATTTGTAATTAAATGCCCTTGGAAGTAGTTTTCTGAATAATAAAGGTCTTAATTCTGATTATTGCAAATGTCTCTGTCCTATGTGAGGTCATTTGACTATAATGCCACTACGCACGCTCTTTTCAACACCTCCTCCTTTTTTTCCCGTGTTTTTGGATAATGGCTTTGCAACTTAATAATAAGACTATAATACTGTCGTTTATATGGTACTAAAAAATTATAATTTTTTTAAATTAAATTATAATTTTTTTAAAGTATAAATAAAAAAGTATAATCGATCATGAAATATTTGAAATCGATACTAAGAGTTCATAATCGATCATGAATGTTTGTAATCGATACGATACTGATTCTTTTTTTTTTCCAGTACCATAGACTTTCCCCTTAATCAAAAGAGATATTGGCCGACATTCAAAAACATGGAAAGAAAATCTTTATTTGTATTTGTTATTAGTTCATATAAATATAATCCAATGGCTAGATTGGTCTTTTTTAATCATTAATATGAGATTTATCGGATTAAGTTACAACTCAAATTAGTTGTCACTCAAATAGGTCAAAGTGAATTTTATTTTCAAACCCATTGACTAATGACTATAGCCCAATTGAGTTATAACTTGAGCTGGTTGAGTTATAATTTTATTTATAGTTTTCATTAGTCTTTCCATCTTAAACAAGCATTACCTTAAATTCAACCTCTATATCTCTATACTTCTTAAATAACTCGCCAACAGAATTTTTGTCCAAATTACCAGCATGGAGTTTTGATGCTTTCCAGACCATTTAAAGCTTTTGATCAAACCTTAACCTGCAGAACACAGGGACAACAAAGATATCAACTTTCTTTTTTTTTTTGGTATAAAAAATGAATATAAAGGTCACTCTACACTTCTGTCTAAAGACCATTATCCAGGAGATCCCACAGCAACTTCGTCAGGGCCAAAACTAAGGTCTCACTGGACGCTGAAAGTAGGTTTAACTCCACCGAACTACCATAGTTACGCAGAGGGAAGAAATTTGAGTTTTTACTCACTGACCAACCACTCATAGTAAGAAAGATAGATTTGATAATATGGTGACAGTGGCAAATCTCCCTGCGTATAAAGGACTGGCAAACTCAATAAGAGACCAATTCTTGGGTCAATTCCAAGAAGATAACAATCCTATTGGACAAATTTAAGGTCATAAACATTAAAATGTAAAATTAATTCCCCCAAAAGTTGGAGGATACAAAATATATTCAAGAGCCACATAATGCAAATCCTTTTCCAAAAGATAAACTGATGTAATATAACAGAGTTTGGCTCAATTGATACAATGTGAACTATAAAGCAATGAATCTGGGTTTTGATTATGCTTGGAGAATAAGACTTGGAACATTAAAATAGCTACAAGATTCTATCTCAAGACAGACAAGAAGCACCATTCCAAACACATTGGAAAGCAAGAACCAGAAAACAGGGTACAGCTTTCCTCTGTTGTGATGAAAAAATGGAGCTAGCACAGATCTTATTCCTCGTAGAGTCTCATGTACGACAACAATTGGATCTGGCCGTCAGAATTTATCTTTGAAGCCTTCTTACCTTGCCTTCAAAGATCCACTGCTCGATCTTTTCAATTCCCATGGAGGTAAGCAGCCTTTGTAGTGGGAATGCAGAAACAGTGAAGACATTGATACTTCTCTCTCCCTCTGATGCATTGAGATTGATGACAAGCAACTGAAGGATCTTCTCAGACTCTTCTTTTCACTATCATAGGGTTGGAAATTTGGACCATGCCGCACAGCAGAAGCTTTGAGGGCCTCTGGGAGTATGCAGTTGCAGAGGGAACCTATGAGGCAGGGGGGAAAGAAAATAAAAGTGCATAAGAAGGCAAGGAAAAAGATCGGCACAATCATTTTGAAGGGGGCAAAAAAAAAATGTGGACAGTGGTTGAGCATGCTTTTAATTTCTAAGGTATTCTCTAATCTCAAAAAACATCAGCCTCTCTTGCATATTTCAACATTCCTAGACTGGGAAATTATAATTATCCACTGAAACTGAGAAACAAAATCACATTGAAAAAACAATGTGAAAATGGGACTATGAGAACCCTCCCTCCCACCCCTTCAACCGACCCTTCACACACAAAACCAAAGAAAAAAGATGAGAAGTTTTAGTTGGTGCAAAAAAGGCAAGTGTTTTATGCAGATAGCCGAATTGAAAGTGAGTGGGAGCTCATTAGTTACTCGTGATTTATGGTTGTCTTCTCTGGGGATTTGAGCTTCCAGGATGAGGGCAGACCATGAAGCATCATACAGCAAATGAAAGAAAATGTGAAAAACAAAGGAATAGGATTTTTCTTTTCCCACTGAATGAAAGTCTCATGTAATGTTGAAAGACAGAGTAACATGGGGGCAGTGGGATGGTTGCGCAACAAGCACTAATAATACTTCACAGTTCAGTTATCCATGACAGTCGTGGTAAAACAAGCATTCAGACCTAAAGTGTGTAAGACACATTTGGTGAAAAACTAGAACAAGTGTAATTTTGTGTGATGAGGGAAAACAATATCAAGTACCTATTCTTGCTAGCCGATTTACCCATTTTGGGATTCGGTTCCCTGTCAGTTTGTAACATAAATCTTCACAGAAATGGTTACAGTTCTTCACAACCAAGTGATACGCGTCTCCATTGTAGCTTGCAGATTGGCGCTCCATGAATTCTCTAACCTGAACTGGATCCATGAATGTAGTCCCCATGAAGATTGACTTTCTAAACTTGAAGCCAGGACATTGTCGAGGTTCAACCTCAAAGACGCCACTTGTTGGATAGTCATGGGCTCCAAAAGCAAATTCTACACCATGCACTGTTGACATACACAAGGACAATAAGCAAAGTTTTTCTTTCATGTACTTAACCCAACATCTTAATAGTCAATAGGCTGGAAGCTAAACAAACTATCCCAGCAAAGAAGTTCATTCACTTCTCAATCTAATTTTAATTTCAGAGTTTATATGGTTCATATTGATTACCATTCAACCAGAGGGGATATAGACACCATAGAATAGAGACATATGTAGATTATTTCAGGTAGTTCTTATGGGGAAACCGAAGTTTCTGACAACAGTTTCACAAAAGCTAAGAAAACTTTGTAGACTAATGTTCATGAATAAAAACATAATCTTTAAAAAGAAAATGTGACAGCTATTTTCACGTGTCAAAAAAATGACACTTTAGAAGATACCAGTGTTCGTATTCGTGTATGTAATTTTGTAAAAGCAAATCTCTTGCTACTTTCAAAGTGTCAGAAATTAACATCCATTAGAAGAGCAAAGTAGAGTTTGTGTCATTTCTGGAATGATACTCAGTTGATTTTTGTATATCTTCTGCATATTGCTCTATGCCAGTAGTCTATTCCAAGAAACAATTAATTCTGCCAGTTCCTAATAATAAGTTATGCATCCAAATTCAGAGGGTAAGCTAACCTTCCACCCCAGTGTGAAAGACACCAATACCAGCCCAATAGAAATATCCATTTGCGGGTGTCAAGTCGTACACATTGAGATAAACAGTTGCATTGCCTGGACTATATCCTGCTGACTTGGCTTTCGGGAACATGCAAAAAAGTTTAGCTGATTTGCCTGGCAAACTAAGAGGCATGATTGAATGCCAGCCATTCTTTGGTTCTGATTTCATGTTTAACGGCCACACTAGGATTTGCTAATACCCAGTTCCAAACTACAATAACGAAACGTAAACATCAACAGTTTCAATAGAAGGGAACAAGGCAAGACGACAATCTACATAGTTAATTCAGATAATGTACATTTAGGGAAATCTAAGTAAACTTTATAGTAATATTTTATTGCTCAACCTAAAAGTGCTAAATTGACATTCATGTGAATGAAACCCCAATAGATTTGAAAACAAAGCAAAAAAATTTCAATCAACAAAGGCTCAATATTTTACTTTAGCATGAATCTTTACCAACCTCAAATGTGCAGAATCAATGGAAATTCACACAACCGTTGGGTGTAAATTCATCAGAGCACGTTGTTTTCCAAGTAAATCTATAATTGACCATGCAATTATAACTCGTACATGAATCAATAGTTATCTGACATCGATAAGAATATAAAATGTACTTAAGCATTGACCGATATTAAGATACATATTTCTATTTGTAATAATCAAACCAGCTTCATTTTGGTTAGTAGGCAAGGTAATTGATTCATCTAGCTAACACAAAAAGGACCAAATACTCCCAATTGGATTGAAATGGAGAATCTTAACTCCTCTAATGAACTCAATAAAAAACTATGACACCATGTTAACCCTGAACTTTTTTTGTTTAATATTTGTGCTTGAAGGCAGAAATTGGCAAGCCTAACGATCGCGAAATTCAATTGTGATCACTGGTTAATAATAACCTAATGTATGTCACTTTGCCATTCTCTATAATCAACAAACACATACATGAAATTTTTACAAATTGAAGCATCAACCAACATTGTCCCTCCACTCCAACATCAAAACTTTCAAGTTTCCCATTCAAGTAAAGTATTGATTCAATATAACCCACGAAGGTGACAAAGCTGAATCATAAGGGTAGCTATGTGATGAGGAAGCAAAATGGGTATGCTGTTACGGCATGAAACAAACTAGGATAAAGGCGGTACCCAGTGCATGACTCCCGTCATTGCAGGGTTGGGGAGGGTTAAATGTATGCAGCCCTATTCGTACACATGGCCTGCAGGTCACAACGAAACAAACTAGGATCTAAACAACAAAACCCATAAGGGGTCCTTCACAACTTTCCTAATAACAACCAGAAAAAAAAAAAAAATTTGCTAGGAACAAAAAAACCAAACTCATGGGAATAAATCTCAGAAAAAAAGAAAACATATCACCAAAAAAAAATACAGAAATAAAGGGCTGAAGAAGGAAATCAAGTAATGCAGCTCATATGGGTAACCTTAAAAATCAGGAAACTCTTTGAAATTAAACAAACCAATCAATGAAAATCTGAGTAGCAAAGAGAAATCTTTCACCTTTTTGCAAGAAGACACTCATCTGATCAGAGCATGGAAGGAGTAGCTCTCCACCAGAATGCCAAAAAAACCCACCATCTTCACAGCAGAAGCGCACACATTGGTCTGACTCTGGCAAATATCAATATCGAAGCTGTTAGAGAGTAATACAACTGCTACTGTTCCTTCAATCAAAGCCAAAGAAAGGGACAGGAGCAAGGACTATCTGAAATTCGGTCCAAAGGTCAAAAAGAGAATCTATCTGTGTCGACTCTTTGAATTGTTGCTTTTTTTTTAGGAGGAATTATACTTTATAGTTTATACCCTACAAAATTAAAGAATTCTTACTTCTTATTCTTAAAGATTTAAATTTTTTTATATTATACTCTTAATATATTAAAAATATTTTAACGTGACTCTTCCGTTAATCATTCTGTCAATGTCAATGTCAATAAAATAATTTTTTAAGGAATAAACAATCAAAACTAACAGAAATGTCACATTATAATACTTCAAGGGTTTAAATCATTTTTCTCCCTTTTTCCAAAAAGAAAAAAGTTTCTTTTAAAAAAATATATATATAATACTTTTAATATAATAAGGGCAATATAGAAAATTTAATATTTGAAGATATAAAATAAAAAATATTAAATCGTTTAGATGTAAAGTGTGANATGCTGTTACGGCATGAAACAAACTAGGATAAAGGCGGTACCCAGTGCATGACTCCCGTCATTGCAGGGTTGGGGAGGGTTAAATGTATGCAGCCCTATTCGTACACATGGCCTGCAGGTCACAACGAAACAAACTAGGATCTAAACAACAAAACCCATAAGGGGTCCTTCACAACTTTCCTAATAACAACCAGAAAAAAAAAAAAAATTTGCTAGGAACAAAAAAACCAAACTCATGGGAATAAATCTCAGAAAAAAAGAAAACATATCACCAAAAAAAAATACAGAAATAAAGGGCTGAAGAAGGAAATCAAGTAATGCAGCTCATATGGGTAACCTTAAAAATCAGGAAACTCTTTGAAATTAAACAAACCAATCAATGAAAATCTGAGTAGCAAAGAGAAATCTTTCACCTTTTTGCAAGAAGACACTCATCTGATCAGAGCATGGAAGGAGTAGCTCTCCACCAGAATGCCAAAAAAACCCACCATCTTCACAGCAGAAGCGCACACATTGGTCTGACTCTGGCAAATATCAATATCGAAGCTGTTAGAGAGTAATACAACTGCTACTGTTCCTTCAATCAAAGCCAAAGAAAGGGACAGGAGCAAGGACTATCTGAAATTCGGTCCAAAGGTCAAAAAGAGAATCTATCTGTGTCGACTCTTTGAATTGTTGCTTTTTTTTTAGGAGGAATTATACTTTATAGTTTATACCCTACAAAATTAAAGAATTCTTACTTCTTATTCTTAAAGATTTAAATTTTTTTATATTATACTCTTAATATATTAAAAATATTTTAACGTGACTCTTCCGTTAATCATTCTGTCAATGTCAATGTCAATAAAATAATTTTTTAAGGAATAAACAATCAAAACTAACAGAAATGTCACATTATAATACTTCAAGGGTTTAAATCATTTTTCTCCCTTTTTCCAAAAAGAAAAAAGTTTCTTTTAAAAAAATATATATATAATACTTTTAATATAATAAGGGCAATATAGAAAATTTAATATTTGAAGATATAAAATAAAAAATATTAAATCGTTTAGATGTAAAGTGTGATTATCCCTTTTTATGTATTCCAATCCATGTTATGGTTAACTGTACGGATGTTTAAAGTATAGAGTTTGTCTTATTTTGATTTCTAATATTTTAATTATATTATTTTGATTTTAAAAATATTAAATATATTTTTATGTAATCCCTCAAACAGATAAAATTTAAATTACTAATAATTTTTTATCTTAAACTTGTTATGTGATACCTAAATATAGGCAAAAATTAATTTGAGTAACTCTTGACCAAATTTTAGATAGTTCACAATTAAAATTGTATAATTTGGATAATTACTTGACCAAAATTTTAGTAGAAATTTGGCCAAAAGTTATCTAAATTATTTTTTTATCAATATTTCGGTATTACGTAATAAGTTTACAATTAAAAATTGCTATTAATCTGAATGTTATTTGCTTGCGAGATTACATAAAAATATATTCAATACTTCAATGACTAAAATAATAAAATTAAATTATTGAGAACTAAAATAAAATAAATCTTATACTTTAAGGACTTCTAATGCAATTAATCATATTTGTTCTATGCTATAAACTATAAAAGGTAAACTATACATATGGGCGTCAAACTTGACAAACTATAACTCTTGTATCAATATTAAACTTTTTTTTTGTTTTTTTATTAAACCCCTAAACTCGTTAATTATGACAATTGAGTTATTCTGTCTACATTCGTTAGACTTTATAACAAAAAGTGACAAGAGTGTGCCACTTACTTCAGTTACCTAACATAAATGAGTTATAGTCCGGTCACAACTAATCAAATAGTTATGAATGATTAAGAAGCATTCCAACTTAATTTGGGACTCTAGGCAAAAATGTTATACAAGGCCTTATAAATGTTTATTCAGTAATAACACTAATATTAAATATTGATTAAAATATGTTTATTTACAAATTATTTTTTTTGTCTTTCGAGATATAACATACTAATTCAAATTTTAAATTTTAAATTTACAAATAAAAATTGTGTTAATCGACGTCAAATACAGAGATCAAATATAATGATACGTACTATTTGATTAATATAAAAGGGAAACATTACTGAAAATTAGTTTGACTAGTAAAATGATTTTTTTCTAAATATATATAAAAATAGGAATTTATACAAGTTGAGTAATTCTAAAATAAATGAGACATCTATAATATAAAACATAACAGACTTCAATAAACTCATTTGACAGTCTTAAATAACTTATCTAACACACACCAACATTTCTTTTAAAACTATTCAAATTGAATTTTTTTCCTTAAATCCATTACTTCTCACTTATGTTGCACCATGCCTTCAAGAATGTGTTACCCTAATTATTAGATATCATAGAGAACAAGAGTTTTTTTTTTAAATAAAAAAGATAGTTAGTGCACTACTTCTATTCATTTTATTTTATAGTCATCTTACGCAATATGCATTGTAAATAAAATTATTAAAAAATAACCTCAAATTTAATTTATACAAATATAAAATTATTATTTGTACCTATTATACAATAGACAACTGATTTTACTAATAAAATTATAAAGTGATTATATAAATATTGGTTGAGATAAAAAAAATAAGTTGAACTTTAAAATCCTAAATTTTTTTGAAAGAGGTTCTAAAAATTTTCCAATTATATTAGTTGAACTTAATTTGAGGACTAAGTACATTAGATAAATAATGAATTTTGTTTAAAGTTAGCACGCACAATTAATTCAATGATTAAAATATATTGAGTATTTAAATTATATTCTTAAACTTTAATTATTTATTTTATTTTGGGGCCCAAAAATTTTCTTCCAATTTGAGGGCCGTAGGCAATAGCCTAAGTGGCCTAAAAGTTGGGTTGGCACTAAAATGATTAAGTCAATAAATTATATAAATGTGGTATTGTTCATTAAGGGTTTGAATCACCCAAGAAAAACTTAAACCAAGGGCTAGTATAATTAACGACAACAATCTTTACCATAAACAGCGAAGTAATTCCAAAGACTCAGATCCTCATAATACTTTTCTTTCAATTTTTTAAGTTGCAAATTATCAATCATTAATGAGTGAAGGGCTTATTTATATAATTAATGGGACTTTAGGTGGCTCTGCAGCCCCCAGACTGACACGTGGAATAATGAAGTTGTTGTGATGTCCAAAAGGCACCGAGGAGGTAAGCTGAGGTATGGTATCCCGAAGGAGCCGAGTACGACAGCTGGTAGCACATTTAATACGATGTGACCTCTCATTTTATGGCAGAGTGAGTGATAGTGACAAAGCTATTAAATGTGCGCCTGCGAGCGCCTGCACTTTGATAACCTAGACCTATCATCATGAGGGCTAGACATTAATAGGTGCTACGCCGAGTATATACGATCGGCTCTCCCCGAAGAACTGTTCCCCCGAGTATTCAATGCTCAATGTCAATCTGAGAGATGTGGATATTCGGGGAAGGGCATAAATGCTCGGCATGGAAGCCGAGATGTTGAAGAAGTTTACCGTCCCGTGATTCAAAATCTATGATGGAAGGATCTATCCCGAGAGTCACTTGCGACAGTACAAACAGTTGATGTCCATCTACGATACCGATCAACGGGTGTTGTGCCGAATTTTTCCCATGAGCTTGGGGGACACAGGCATGCGATGGTACGAGAACCTAGCCTTAAAAGCGTTAGGTCCTAGAGACAATTGACGGAGCTCTTCATAGCTCAATTCATCACCAACAGTAAGAAATTGAAGGACATCGGCATTCTATTGACACTTAGGAGGAAGGGAGGGGAGTCCCTTTCGACAATACGCCATCAGGTACTGGGATGAGGTTAATGAGGTGGAGGCATATTCGGAGGCACTAGCCGTGACATCATTTAGGCTGGGATTGTCCCGGCACAATGATTTGTACAAGTCGCTGACCAAGAAGACTCCAACGGACATGAAAGACTTGATGGCTCGGATTAACAAATATCCCCGGGTGGAAGAAGAATCCAACACACCCGAGAACAGAGTCTCGGCGCCGAAAAAAAGAGAGAAAGAACAACCGGCCCGGAGGGGAGGACCTGTTCCACCCTCAAATCGCCTGTCTTTCCAGAAGGTGAGCATGGTCTTCAAAGAGCTCATTTACAATATGTTTTTCAAGATAAAAAAATAAACCCTACTTCAAGTGGCCTCCGAGGATGCTAGGAGATCCATCAACGAGGAATGCAGCTTTTCGTTGTTCATATCACAAAGATGTTAGCCATTCGACAGAAGATTACAAGGTGTATAAATCCTTCATTGAGCAACTGGCACGAGACGGGCACCTCGGGGAATCCATCGATAGGAGGGCTCTCAGAGGATTGGCAAGGGAAGGAGTCGAGGTGTCTGCTAAGGTGGCGCCCATGATTAATGTTATAAATGTCTGCGTCGTCGAAAGGCTAACGTATAACTCCCTCCGTGCCGAGTTGTAGAAGGTCTCCCAAGTGGTCAGGGTGGAAGAGAGGGGGGCGAAGCGACCCCCCAAGAGGTCGCGATGTAATACTGAGGTTATTTAGTTTTTTGATGCCGACCT